CACTGCTTTTACATGTCAATGCCACTTGCTTCTGTCTATTATTTCTCATATTCTCATTTTCCAACATGAGTATCATATCTTTTCATATCTGTTTTAGGCAGAAAACTCCCATTTCAGATACACTGCTCTTTCCTTAAGTACACATCATCATAAATATAATTGTGTGTTTCCATCCTCTGGAATTTCTTTGACAGTACATAGCCTTTGGTGTCCTAACTACTCTTCCATGTTAGTTAAAACTGTACCTATTTCTAGAGTTTCTAGGTTGTAAAGTGATTGACAGATGAAGGAAAAAAGTAGTTGTGAACAACTTAGTCTTAAACATTAAATGTAGGAGAAAGACGAGTCAGTATTTGGAGATGATGGCAAGATCAAGTAATAACTTTTAAAAGTGTAGATTAGACATGAGCATATTTGAACAATAATGGAAATATCAGAGATGTACTGCATGTGGATGCAGAAATTGAGGGGTGGGGAGAGATCATGCACTGTTAAGTCTTAGCAGGAGGCGATTACATCCCGAATCTATGTTCCAAGAAGTCAGCAAAAGTACATACTGGCCCTGTTGTCATGGGGATACAAACCAAACCTATTTATGCAATTTTTCATTCTGGGATTTGTGAAATAGACAATGAACAACCAGGCACAGTGGTGCATATATGTAATCCCAGCACTTTGGGAGGCCAAGGAGGGCAGATCACCTGAGATCAGGAGTTAGAGACCAGCCAGGCCAACATGGTGAAATTCTGTGTCTACTAAAAATACAAAAATTAGCCAGGCATGGTGGCAGGTGCCTGTAATCCCAGCTAATCGGGAGACTGAGGCAGGAGAACCACTTGAACTCAGGAGGCGGAAGTTGCAGTGAGCCGAGATAACACCACTGCACCCTAGCCTGGGTGGTTGAGCAAGGCTCCATAGCAGGAAAAAAAAAAAATGACAATGAACAAAAACACAAAGAAAGAGATATCATGATTCTAAAACCAGATTCCTAAGTAAGCTAGAAAAAAATGCTTCCTCTGTTAGGTGACTTTCCCTAAATTCATTTGTGGCCTTCAGGTAAACTTGGTTTTATATATGCTTTATTTTTCCTGCATAGTACTTAAAAATTGAATTTGAATGCTTTACATGGAAAAACAAATGCTCACTGATTCATTTCAGTCTACAGTACTCCTTTTAATTTTGTAACCTGTCCATACACTGATAGACATTTTAGTTTGCCAATCTTGCTTCTCCATTATAGGTAATAATAATGTGAACAAGAACTGTAAATTCTGATAAGAATAGAATAAGTTTTTCAAAAAATGTATAAAAACATGAAATCTCCCATTAGTACCACAGTTTTTCTATGTTACTTTTGTAATTTGAGTAAACCAGCCATTTGGAAAGGATGTCATCAGAGATTTTTAAAATAAAATTAATTTTGCTTTGTTTCTGTTAGGTTTATTCAGTTGTTTTTCAATACATTATTTCCTTTGAGTTTTGGGGTTTCCATATTTATACCATCTATGCTAGTAACACATTAGTAAGAACAAACAATGTACATATTGAGTTTGATTCTTCATGGGTAGGGGTTATCCATACAATCACATTGACTGATCCATCCTATCTAAAGTTTACGATATTACCCTAGCTTTCAAATTATTATATAAACTAAATAATATATCTTCTCCAGATATTTTCATTTGTGAATTACTATGAACATCTCCTTTGCTGCTTATCAATGTTGATAGAACTAGTGAAACATATTCAGTTTTATTTACAGTTTTCCTTTTCCACACCATATTTATTTTGTAGGCATGTAGTGTAGCTACTTTCAAGTGAAGTCATGTGTCTCTGCTCTTTTGAGTTAAACCTTTTAAGAGTTATGAATCGGCCGGGCGCGGTGGCTCAAGCCTGTAATCCCAGCACTTTGGGAGGCCGAGGCGGGTGGATCACAAGGTCGAGAGATCGAGACCAACCTGGTCAACATGGTGAAACCCCGTCTCTACTAAAAATACAAAAAATTAGCTGGGCATGGTGGCGCGTGCCTATAATCCCAGCTACTCAGGAGGCTGAGGCAGGAGAATTGCCTGAACCCAGGAGGCGGAGGTTGCGGTGAGCCGAGATCGCGCCATTGCACTCCAGCCTGGGTAACAAGAGCGAAACTCCGTCTCAAAAAAAAAAAAAAAAAAAAAGAGTTATGAATCTTAGCACATGGTTCAGAATTTCAAGTTTGGTACGCGGACATCACTATATCTTTACCATAATACTTCCCCTGCCATATATTCTATTTTTTATTTCCATTTTCACTGGTAGAAGAAAGAACATTAGCAATGCTCCTGTATTTTACAATTTTCCTGATCAAGACATTAAAATTATAATCACTAGAGATGATTCCCTAGGGTCCTCAGATGCATGAATAAGCAGCGCTAGGATGGAGTGCGTGGGTTTGAAAAATTTGCATGGTCTTTCTATCTAACTTGGATACCTATTCTGGAACCAATGCAGATCTTAAATTCATAGCCTTTAACCAAAGTATCAGTGGGCCCATGTATCATTTCCTTGGGTACAAATATGGTTTTTTGGAACCTGTTTATACATGCATTTTATTTTTATTTCTTCAAGTCTTATTTTCAATAAAGATTTTGTTCTTGTTTTTTTTTTTTTTTTTTTTTTTCTGGGAGCTTTGATTCACCATTTATGTAGCTTCTACCTAGCTTCATAGATATAGCATTTTACTCCTGTCTTTCTCATCCATATTTCAGTCTTTAACATGCTGCTGTTTCTGGCTTTGTTTACCCTCTACCTCTGCTGTTCTATGAACTAAAGCAATATTGCTCAAAGCTCAGAAATGTTCCCAGGTCTAAAATGTGACTCCAGTTAACTATTGCTAGTTTCTGACTTTGGTGGGGTTGATAAGAATGTAATCATAATTGAGTTCATTATTATCTGCTCTGACCTGAACACACAGTCAATTAAAATGAGCAATAAAGGCTAAGTTTCTCAAAGTTCTATATTTTTTTAGACTTTAACTTATATCTTGCATACCTTGATTCTGACAGTATATTGCTGACAAAATGTCTAATGATTTAGCAATTTCTTATCAAAGTTAAATATAAAATAAATAGAAAATTTTATATAAATTTTATATAAAATAAATAGAAAATTTTAAGTGATAAAGACAAATACATTTAAAAGTGTAAATTATAGCAACTAAGGTGAATATATATGTTGAAATATAAATAAATATAATTATGATGTTAGCAAAACTAATACTTAAAAGTAATTAACCACCAATACTATGGTGACTGATACTGTAATATATTTGATGTTACAGATCATTTCAGAAGACAACCACTAGTTTTCAAATAAGATTTTAAAAATTTAAAAATAATGTCTAGCATGTATATTTTAAATACAAAATAATCTGTCTCTCTTTTTTCCTGATGCAATAATATTATGTATAGCCTAAATAGTTCCCCTCCTGAGAAAGAGGAATCCAAAAAGATTTAATTTCTTTGCTGGAGAACACCTGGCTGCACATCAGTTTCCTGTAGCTTTTGATGCTTTATGTGGGATTTCACACTGTGGGAATCAGGAAAGGCATTTTTGGGTACTGCAGTCCTAAATCTGCAAACATGCATATTATAATCAGAAATTCTTTTGGTGGTAGGGCAGTAAACTAAGTCTGGGAGTTGGGTATTCCTTGCAAATAAGTATTCCTCTATTTAAAAAAACAAAGGAAGTACTAAGAAATTTGGATCATTCCATTCAGCACTTACCACTGCAGGCAGGAGTTTAATTCTTTGCCAATAACACAACTGTAAAAATTAATATATTGAAAGACATCCCCCCAAAAGCCAAGAATATGTGTATATATAATCATTTCAGAAATTTCACATATTCTTTTTATTTATTTATTTATTTTTTTTTTGAGACGGAGTTTCGCTCTTGTTACCCAGGCTGGAGTGCAATGCGTGATCTCGGCTCAACGCAACCTCCACCTCCCAGGTTCAGGCAATTCTCCTGCCTCAGCCTCCCGAGTAGCTGGGATTACAGGCACGCGCCACCATGCCCAGCTAATTTTTTGTGTTTTTTTTTTTAGTAGAGACGGGGTTTCACCATGTTGACCAGGATGGTCTCGATCTCTTGACCTCGTGATCCACCCGCCTGGGCCTCCCAAAGTGCTGGGATTACAGGCTTGAGCCACCGCGCCCGGCCGAAATCTCACATATTCTTTAGACTATTATGTAAGTATGTATCATATATGGACATCCATTTATTTCTAAATATATATTTAAGTAAGGTCATTTCAAATGTATTGATCTGTATTTTTATTCTATTAGTCACTGATGATAACTAATTATAACACAATATCTATTGCCCTATTATTTTTCCCACACCCACTCCTCAACTACAAACCAGAGTTTATTAGGGGGAAGCTACGATAATTTTAAGCAAAGAAATCCTGTTCTTTACATTTTATGTCACACGTATTATAAAACTTTATTCTAACTTTAAAATAAATTCTTTTTAATTTTTTGTAGGCTTTTCAATTTTTTTCAACAGAAAACCTTTTAAATCTACATAGCTAAGCTTTTATACACATTCATGCTCTAAGTAACAGTATACATAATGGATTTAAGCCGATTTTGAAACATTGGCACTACAATGAATATCACAGTTATACAAATTACTAAGACATTCTTTACTCATTAACAAAATAAGGTTTATAGCAATAACATTTACTTTGTAGGTAACTACCTGTCACAAGAGTTAGCATTATGTAAATTCTAGCTATTGTTATAAACAGAGGAATAAAAGGACTAAAAGTTTTACAATACTCTTTAACTGTAAGCATTATTCGGCTAAATTGGACACAAAAAACTGATCAAAATATAAATGTTGTCAGGTATAAAAGAGAAGAAATAAAAAGAAGAGCAATGAAATGAAAGATAGATGGACACTCTGAAGTGACTGAAATGAGTGGCAGTGGAAAGTCTTAATGCATGCATACTTACGGAGCTGCCCAAGTCGAGCTTTTTCTTTTTTACCAAACAGACGTCCTATTGAAGACTTGATTCCTTTCTTCTTGGGGGCTTTGTGAAGAGAGTCTTGACTGCTATTGGCACTGCCTAGCCCAAGGCTTTCTGGCTCAAGAGAGACAGATAAACTACTGCAAAACACAAAAGAGGGAAAAAAACCCTGCTCATTTTCATGCAACATCCACAAGGTATACATCAGTTGTTTCCTTTATAAATAAACAAAAGGAGGAACAAGTAGACTTGGAATATCATTTTCTCCGGTATCTTATCATATTTGCTTTTACAATATTAAAGCATAATTAAAGTGAACCTTCAAATTTCCCTAAGAGAAATTTATTTTTTCTCCAAATGGCTTTTCTCTTTACTTTTTTGGTATAATCTCCAACTAATCAGTGAATATAGGATGATTTTTAACTGCATGTTAGATGGCCTTCTATTATCTAGCACTTGATCTATTTATTTCTCTGAGTTTTTCTAATCTTAAACATAAAGACCTACAGTAAGGAACTGAAATATAACTAATTGTGAAGTTGAACCTGGTCTTCTAATCTACAGTTTTACTTGATTTTTCTGTAGCCATCTTTCCCTCTCTCAGTTTTAGAGCTAAATTCAATTAATTTAAAATAATCTGGGTGCAATCTGGAAGCAACAAACCATGTACTCTTGTGATCACTGTACGTTTTACTAGTTAGAGTGCTCAAATATTATTTCAAATACATGATAAGCTGAAATGCTTTTCAAGCAGTTGATTAAGGTTCAATTTCTGGTCAATCTATTTGACACTGTATTAATAGGAGGGGATCAATAGACATTTCTATTAGTTCCTATAGTTGTTAATTTTATAACACCATCACAAATTACTTGCTTTTACTTATTCATGCCAACTAATTTGAACTCACATTCCCTAACCTTCAAAGCAAGAGCTTTTTATATGTTGAAATATACTTTACTTTTTTCTCAGAGAGTGAAAGAAGTAATATTTTGAAGCTGAAGTAACTAATATGTACACATTAGTAATAAAAAATAATCGGAAAAAAGAAATGACTGCCAGCACAGAAAGCTCTACTTTTAAAAACATTTATTTTAAAACAATACTATCTGGAAGACAGAGATTTATTAAAGTATTAATTAAGTCATTATATTTGGTTGTATCAATTATGTGTCTAGAGATGCTGCAATTGATAAAACAATAGGAGAATATACATTTCAGATGTAAACTGTGTGCTTAGGTATATTTATATCATCAATGATTATAGAGATCTGTTTGCAATGCTTTATGCATATGGATAAGACAGTATGAAGAGTTGTGATGACAAATTACATATTTCTCCATCTAGACTTATCTTTTTCTTTAATATGTTAGCCAAGGATTTTTTCTTCTTTTCTAACAACTTTCTGACTGAGGAATTATTATTGCTGGCAGCAGCAGTACCTGTAGGGTACAAATATCTGTTTGCTAAAAGGCACAATCATGAACCTTTTAGACTTTCATTATCCTTATACTGCAATCCAAATTTATTATCTTGTCCTAGAGTCTCCTTAGTTTTTTGTTAGTATTTCTAGTAAGTCCTTCCTCTAGCCTGATCTCATTTTAATAGGAAATATTCACTAAAAAATAGAAGATCTATTTTTATCTATGTTGTCTAATAACAAGATGACAAAGATACAGTTAATTTTAAAATTACAAATTTGATATCAAAATTGATATTTGGTTATTTCACAAGTAATACTGGGAAAGTAAAGCTGGAGAATTTTCTGGTTCGAATCAAATTTTGAATGTAAATTGATAAGCAGTCTATTTAACAATACTGAAGGAAGAGGAATATTTTTGGAAGGAGAATATTCAACAGGCAGTGTGCTTGCAGAATCTTACCTTCGAGCATCATTGTGGTAGGAAGAAGGGAGAGTATGAGTCATTCTGATGGCTCTAGGAGTAGGAGGAGGAGACGTTTCACATTTAATTGTTGCTTTATCCTCTCGACCATCTTCTTCCACAACTGCAATCTAGACACACAAAAAATACATTCAAATAAACCCTTTCTAAATTTCAACTGAAAATGATACCAATGGAGAATCATGAAAGCAAGGCTATTGAGTAAGTTTAATACAAAATAAAACAACACAACTTGGGACATATAAGTCTTACATATGTAAATTCCCATTAAAGAGCTTGATTTTCATAGCTATTTGAAAGTGGACACATTAAAATTAAAAAAAAAAAGTCACAGACCCACTACACAAAAATCTTTGAGTAATAAACATCATAGATCAAGCATTTCCAACCCAGAGCCTGCAGGGCACATATAGCCTTAGACAGTTGTGAATGCAGCCCAACACAAATTCATAAACTTTCTTAAAATGATTTATGCATGGACCTTTTTTAAAAAAGATCATTAGTGGCTGGGCACAGTGGCTCACGCCTGTAATCTCAGCACTTTGGGAGGCCAAGGCAGGTGGATCACGAGGTCAAGAGATTGAGACCATCCTGGTGAACATGGTGAAACCCCGTCTCTACTAAAAATACAAAAAATTAGCTGGGCATGGTGGCGTGTGCCTGTAGTCCCAGCTACTCAGGAGGCTGAGGCAGGAGAATTGCCTGAACCCAGAAGGCGGAGGTTGCAGTGAGCCGAGATCGCGCCATTGCACTCCAGCCTGGGTAACAAGAGCAAAACTCCATCTCAAAAAACAAAACAAACAAAACCAAACCAAACAAAGAAAGCTAATTAGCTATCATTAGTGTTAAAGTATTTTATGTGTGGCCCAAGACAATTTTTCTTCTTCTAATGTGGCCCAGGAAAGATAAAAGATTAGACACCCCTGCCATAGATCAACTAGTTGCTGACTATTGATCTATAGTGTTTATTGATATTGATCTATGATATTTTATATCAGAATATAAAATGTTTACCGAAAGGTATTGAACACATATTTGAACAATTCACTAAAATATAGCATTATACATACTCAGGTTATCAAAATAAGACATCTTTTAAGTAGGGATTTTTGAAATGAGAAGTTGATAAAATATAAATTTGTCAGATAGTGTTTTAAATCAGTCAGCCTAATAAAATTTATTACAGGGTGTTTAAAATATGAGTTGTGGCTTGTAAAGAAAAAAAAAAACCTCTTTTTAAAGTGAGAATAATAAAAGGTAAGATCATAATCTTTTCAAATTGTTTCATTTTACTACCACTATGGGAAAACTGACAAAGACATACAGAAAGCCAAAAGAAGATGAGATGGGAGGGAATTCCTTAAAGAATAATTTAATTCAGAATCCAGAACAACTCAGAATATTATAAATTTTGTCCTGGAAATAGTACACCACTCACCTATAAGTACACCTTTCATATGCCAACCAACCAATTCACAGTCCATACTCTAAACCATCTTCTCCCTCCATCTTGCTTTTACTCTTAAGAGGCAATATTTCTCTGCCCTAATTACCTGAGGGCCAGGCTGAGACAACTAGAGACAGTCCCTACACCCTGAGGCCAATTATTCAAGCTATCCATCCTATTCTGCTTACCCTGCCTTGTCTTGCCTTTCTGAAAGAGACCTCAAAAAGCCTTCTGCCTATGTCTCTTCTACCTCCTGACTGACCCTGGTGCTGTCCTGAGGCACAGAGTGCTCCCTCCTCTTTGGACCTGTGAATAACAAACTATTTTTTGACGGTTGTCTCCTGATTGTCCTCACCCTATCAAAATAATAATAATAAAATATTTGACAACAATCAGCATTATTTATGATATATACTAAATATTAAAACATTTGTACTATCAATTAATAAACATATTTATATTAAAATATTAAATTGTACCACTGTTGGTTTAAATATTCAATGGAAAACAGGATATTATTTTTCTTGTAATCTAACTATTGTCCCAGAAAGCAAAAACAAATTTATCTTGGAAGTATGGTCTATTAGAATCAAATTTAAACAATTCAATAATATTTAAATATTCTCAACCTTTTAATGCTTTATTAACATTCAACTAGAGAATATTATCTTAAAGCTTTCATAGAATGAAACAATATTCAACCTATAATGATGTAAAAGTTATTTACAGTACCTTTCTCCGATGTTTTCTTAGATCACTTGGCTGTGATTGGCAGTAAGAAAAATAACACAAAATAGAATTAATTAAGAATTACCATTTGACCATGTTACAATTTTAAATAGTGTTTACAACTTGACTGTCATTATTTTCTTCATTCTGTTATTTTCTAAATAAATGTATTTTAATTATCATAGAAGCACTCCTCCTGGTAGTTAAATTTAGAAAGGGAATTTCTCAGGTAATGTAAGTCAGGGGCATTTCCATAATGGGGCCATGTGTACAGGCACTGGTTACAAGGCATGGATCCCGGGGAAGAGAAACTGGAATGAGTTACAGTGACTGAGTCTAGCTAGAAGACTGAGCTAGCTAGAAACAAATGCAATTGCATCTTTCCAAGCTGGGAATGAAGATCCAATGCATATACAAGGAATTTATAAATTCTTGTTTTGGCCCCATCTATGCAAAGCTTTGGGCCTCCTTTTGGGCAGATGTGCTGTTCTTGACAGATCTCAAAATTCCTGGCATCTTAAAATCCTCCTCCGTCCCACAAATGCCAAAAGCTCTGGGGCTGTTTCTTTCTTGTCAATGCTCTTTTATAGAACTTTTAAAAATAGTTCTTTTTTATGATTTCAAGTGAACCTTATTCATGTAATGCCTCTGTTCATTTTTCTTACATAAGCAAAACAATTTTTGTGAAACTATTCCATTATGTTTTGCATTTTTGTTGTTTGGAAATGTGTTGATTTTATCTCATTCAATAGTCTAACTACATATCGCTAGCATGTTGTTTTTTGCTTATGAATTTGTTGTGAGGTAAAAGTAAATATGACTATGCTTTATTATCAAGATAAAAATACCACAATGTTTATAAATTGTTAAATAATAAAAATAATCAATATATTTTAAATTTCTAATTTTCTGTCCCTAAAAATTCTAATCTTCTGAACATCAAATATAAATTATATCCGACAAAATTATTTTTCCTACAATATTTTCTTCAGGTTAAATAAAATCTACCATGTTTCACTATAAAAATAATAAAATTGGTGAAGAATTATATTAGGTGCTAAGGACTTCCTGGATTTTGTTTCTTGTTTCTCTGACTTATATATTAAAACACTTTAAATATTTCTTTACTCTTCCAAAAATGCCCTAAATATTTTTTCAGTACTCTAATTATAGTGTAATATTTATATTCCAGTGATTTGTTTATGACTGTTCAAGAAAATTCATGAAAACACACTCTCTCTCTCTCTCTCTCTCTCTCACACACACACACACACACACACACACACACACAGAGAGAGACATGTATACACACACTACCACAATCACATCTAAAGGATTATAAATATATTATTTTATTGCCATGAAAACAATAGCACTACCAAGAGTTACGATACTAATGTTTATAAAAATAGAAAGGTAAAACTATGTTGTATATATGTAAGAAATAAAAGCAGTACAAAAATAAAGTATTCCAGCCTTGAATGCTGACTAAATTGTATTCCGTGGTCCAGGATTCTTACTGTAGCTTTGGTACTAAGTGGCTTATTAATACCATGCAGCATATCTTATATAGGCAGAAATTAAGTCAGAGACAAGAACTCTTTTAGTTAATAAAATCAGATGAATGGTTCTTAAATTTCTAAAATAAGCATATCACAATGTAGTTCAGTGTGTTTGGTTAGTATATCTCAATACATTGTCTAAAAGTTTGTGCTGTATCCAAGTGGAATCAGTTCTGATTAGTTGGGCATTGCTCTGGTCAGCCATTTTCTGTTCTATTTAAAAAATACTTTTAGAAAATTTTGGAAATGAGCAGAAAAGAGGGACTCAGCAGCTTAAAGAGGTAACTGTTTCCTTATTTAAATTTTTTTTCTTTTACATAAGCTTTATGGCTTGGAAGTCTCATAATTTTAAGTATACCAATGAATATTTATTTAAAAATCATAATTTTATCCCATAAACAGTTCAGAATGTTTTAATCTTCGTAACTGCTGTCATTTCAACATACTGTATTTCTAGGTAATAACAGAAAAAAAGACAGGATAGTACATGCTTTTAAATTATGCAAATCTGAGGAAAAATCCAGCTGCACTTATTAGCTGTGTTGAATATGGGCACTCCATTTATACTCTCAAAACCTCCACTCTTTATTGAAATAATGCCCTACTACTTCCAGTTATGTCATGACAATTAAATAACTAACATCATGGCATTCAGTAATCATCATGATCATATTTTCCAGAGGATTTATTGTATATATATATATATATGTAAATAAATATATTTTATAATAAAATACATGTATTATATATAAGTATATTCTTACATAAAAATATGTATTTTTTAGAATTGGGGCAATTTGATTTTCTTCTCAGTTGCATTCAGAGAACTTCCTAATTTAGGCTTCCAACTTCTAATCCCAAATATAAAGATGAAAGAAGGAATTAATGTATATATGTGAAAAGTGAATATAAAGTCTGAAACAGAATTAGAAATTAGTTGCTGTTGCTTTGATGGCTCTTAACAATACAAATATTGCAAGAAAATTATATGTTGAAAAGTTATAAAACTCTATCTTCGTGTATTGAAACAATTATAATACTTAGTTTTATTACTTATTATGTCAAACATACACACAGAGTCTTGTTATTTCCATCAGTAAAAATGTACTTAATGGTTTAATTCATTCAATTTTAAAACTATTTTATTTATTTATTATTTTTTTTCAAGAAGGAATCTCACTCTGTTGCCCAGGCTGGAGTGCAGTGTTGCCATGATACCTCACTGCAGTCTCAAATTCCTAGGCTCAAGGGATCCTGCTGTCTCAGTCTCCTAAGTAGCAGGGACTACATGTATAGGCCACCACACCCAGCTAATTTTTTTTTTTTGTTTGTTTTTTTCTTTTTTAGAGATGGGATCTTGCCATGTTTCTTAGGCTAGTCTTGAAATCCTTGACTCTAGGTAATCCTCCTGCCTCAGCATTCAAAAGCCCTAGCATTATAGCTGTGAGCCACTGTGCCCAGGCAGCCATTGAAATTTTTAATGTGCTATTTAGATCTCTGCTCTACCACTGACTTACTATTTGACCCTCAGAAAGTAACAGCACCTGTGTGGGTTATCATTTCATAATGGGATTCTTAATTGTACTGATCACATAGGGTTGTTGTGAATAAGAAAAGAAATAAACAATAAAATACACAGAAAGTACTTAGACTAGAACAAACACCCAGTTAAGTTTTAGCTAAAGCATCATTCATCCTAATGGGAGGGAAAGTTTCTCTGGACACATCACCATACCAGTGTCATGACTCCCATCCGATCCATTTCCCTGGCAGGGCTTCGAGGGGTGAGCTTTGGCGTTGAGTGTCCACTGGGGGGAGATGAACTGGCCAGCGATGAAGCTGTAACAGAGGCAGTGATGGAGGTACCTGGGTGGACCCTTGCCAAATTCAAGCCTTCTAGGCTCACACTAGCCACTCTATTCTCAATTTCTTCAGCACGCAACTCTGTAGATTCTTTTTCTTCCTGAATTAGTCTGAAAGATACAATTTAATTTTGATCCATTATATATAATTTTATATGGATCCATTATTTGCTGCTGTAATGATCATTGGAATTCACATAATAAATCAATATAAGCTACTCTTGAACATTTTACATCAAATCTAACTTTTTCTTATTTTTTTCTCTAAACAGTGTCACTTTTGGTAAATTCCAGGGACTTCCTGGCTGCAATTTAGAAAATTGTTTTCAAATGATGTATTTTTTCTGACCACTTTCAGTTTCACCCTCTTTGTATACTACCACCTGCTAAAACTTTAAAAATCTTGAACCTAGTTAATTTCTACTATTAATCCTAATCTTACATTTGATCTCAGGAACCAATACAAGAGATGTTAGAAGTTCAGCTTTGAGATGGGAAAGCACTAGCAATAGCTCAGAAAAAGTGAAAGATTATAATTACATGTAACTGCCTCATAAGATTCAAAGTCATTAAATCTTATCTCCTACCTAATGAAAAAGTTTAAATGTTAGTATCCTCAATAAGTGGTCATTCATAATACCACGTAGCCAAATAAAACCTCAGTCTTTTCTTAATATTAACACTTGGCCAAGCCTCCCTTAAATAAGTACCAGAAAACTAAATAATGTGAAAATACAGTTAGACAATGAAAAAGTAACTTGAAAATAAAACTAATGTAAATGCTTTTCAGGCAGCTATTATCCTTTTTCTTTAAATTGAGAAGACAGCTATTATCTTTTTTCTTTAAATTGGGAAGTAGCTTCAAGAATATTTATAAATTATTTATTACAAAGGCACAAATAATAAAGAGCATTAGCTAGGTTTTGTAAAAATCCTATTTGAATCTTAAACTGAATCTATATACATTTTGTATATTGTTATAATGAAACTGTGTACCAGTATAGTATTGATAAGGTCATAAAATTTTCCTGAGCTATTTTGTTCTTAATTACAAATGGTTCATTGTGGTCCCCTATTATATAAAACTCTTACCTTCAAGCCTACAATCTCTTCAGAGTTTTCTTTTTACATATTTAGAATGGAGAATGTATTTTTTTTTTTTTTTGCTACATTTATTCAATAGGAAACAGTTGTCTGGTTTACATTTACTGTGGAAAGTTAATCTACATTTACCCACCTGTTTTTATATATTTCCCCAGCTTTTTGATGATTAACTCACTGCTGGTGTCTTCACGAACTATTCTGTTAATCTTTCTGTTTTTAGGTAGTATGTGTTCGCTGGCCAGGAAGAAAGTACTTTGATTGTCTACTTATTGGAATAAGTGATCTTTGTGATTTTAACAGACTGTTAAAAAAATTCTTACAAAGTATGGACTTAAAATCTAACCGAATATGTTTTCACAAAGATTTATTTTGGCTAAAACATTATGAGGCACATTTACACTTAATTATAATCTTTCACTTAGAAAAAGAACATGAATTCTGTTACTCTCAAAGTTTATTTTTATGAATGCATTTTTTAACTTCGCCCCAAGGTCAGAACCCCAAAGAAAGGTATAATCAAATAACATAGTACATTGTTAACACTTAAAACACATTTGAAATAAAGAAAAAAAACCTACCTTCCCCCTCAAAAAATAAAAATGAAATAAAAGAAGGCATTGTTTTACTTTTAAAATACTTGGTAGAAAAATGACTCCTTAGAAAATTTGTCTGGTGATGTGTAACACGGTTCTGCTGTACACAGAAATTTTGGTTAGTAACTTTAGGTATTCTACAAATTGTACAAGAGAGCAAAACCTAGAGTAACAAGTTGGGTAGGAGGTAGATTGAAGTGTAATCAAACAGAAAATAGTAGCTAACTATGAAAGAATAGATCAATGAACACTGCTGTGGCAAATGAGTTTGAAGTAATTTGAATCAGTGAGCTGTGAATAAGCCAGAAAACGTGCATTTTTAAATGACTAAATTAGTTTATGAAAGAAGAAAAACCTTAACCAGAGAAAAATTCTGGTTATTAGCAGACCACCCTGGTTTTAATGAAGATGACTATTTCTTTTAAATGTGATGCAATCACACTTCATGTATTTTTTTTTTTTTTTTTTTTTTTTTAGGAGGAGGAGTTTCGCTCTTGTTACCCAGGCTGGAGTGCAATGGCACGATCTCGGCTCACCGCAACCTCTGCCTCCTGGGTTTAGGCAATTCTCCTGCCTCAGCCTCCTGAGTAGCTGGGATTACAGGCACACGCCACCACCCAGCTAATTTTTGTATTTTTAGTAGAGACGGGATTTCACCATGTTGACCAGGATGGTCTGATCTCTTGACCTCAAGATCCACCCGCCTCGGCCTCCCAAAGTGCTGGAATTACAGGCTTGAGCCACCGCGCCCAGCCTCATTTCATGTATTTTTAAAATTTCTTACAAATAAACAACTTTATTAACCTATTGGCCAAGATTGTTAAATAAATTACTACCCTAACGTTACAAAGCTAAGGATCTCTGAAGAGAAATAGGTTGTTATTGAGGGTATGTTGACATCTTTGGTGAAAATAAATATCATGAGAATATAGACTTGATTTCAAACTTGGTGAATTCAACCATTAGTTGAACAGCATCAGAAAGTATTGTTCAGTTATTCAGTTAATATTTATATTTTACATTATTTTTTCTATTTAGAGTAATCAAATATTTATGGAGCACTTTCTAAATACAAAGCAAAGTGCTAAGACCTACAAATAAAAGTGAGCAAAACCAGATACATTTCTTCCTCCTTTATGAAAGTTACAATCTAGTGAAAGTAAAGAACTGATGGACAGTACTATCTTCCTTGAAGAAGTGATGGAGGAGCTGTCCATGGTGAGGAGGGTAACGCAAATGAAATGTTAGAGGGAGTGGAATGAGAGTAATGTTCCAGGAGTAAAAGATGACAGCAAAAGAAAGATCATGTAGTACTTAAGAAACTGGTTAGTAGGCAAAGTAAATGGTTAGAGAATGTCGAGACAGGTGAGGTATTGTATACCATATTAAAAATTTTGGTGTGTATCCTAAGAGCAATTAAATGATTTGAAAAAGGGGGATTACAAAAGCACATTTATGTTTTTAAAAGTCTTCTCTGGCTGCCATTAGGTTGGGTTTTATGGAGAACTAGAATACTACAAAGAAACCAGATAGAAATTGTAGTTGTCATACAGGTAAGAAACTATTCTAAAGTGCAGTACGGTAATGATAGGTAGATTTGAATAACAGTAGAAAGAAGCCATTAGATTTAGCTACAGCCAGAAAGAAAAAATAAAGCCATTGTTCACAATAGTTAAAACCTGTTCACCAGTTGAAAAAACAAATTCACAATGGTTTCTGGATATTCAAAAGAACACAAATCTACCTGACACAGTTGGGTTCATCACTGCAGTTAGTCAAGGAAATGAAAGAAAAAGCTGATGTCACTGGAATTCAAGAAACTATATATTAAATTAAAATGAAATTATCAGAGTGCAAACATTTCTCAACATTTGAAATGTTAATTTGTACAATTTCAATTGTAATGAAAACCATCTATTATTAGGGTACTATATAGCAAGAGTACTATTTTCTTACCTAGTATGAACTAATTCATATCATCCATATGTTTTACTGCCTTTGAATGAACATATAATAAAGATACTTGTTAGGTTATAATATTAAATTATGTCTGGAAGATATATTAAGCCTTTTATATTTAAAGAATGCAAATGCATTTGGTCCCCATTTACTTACTTAGAAAATTTGCACACATATGTCCCCAAAATGAGGGGATTTTTATCAATCAGCCTGATTTGCTATGAACTTCAGCATTAATATGTGAAGAAATGTATTTTCACTGATATAAGAATATTAATCATAAAAAATTTTATAAGAATGGTATGTCAGTTTAAAATATGGCAGCAGCCAAATTAGAAAAGTAAGTTTTAGGCATCAGTTAATACAATTATTTAGCCACAAGCATTAAGATTAACAATCTGAGGCAGGTGTGGTAGCTCACGCCTGTAATCCCAGCACTTTGGGAGGCCCAGGTGGGAGTATCATTAGAGCCCAGGAGTTCAAGACCATCTTGGACAACAGAGGGAGATTCTGTCTCTACAATTTTTTTTTTTTTAATTAGGCATGGTGGCACATGCCTATAATCCTAACTACTTGGGATGCTGAGGTGAGAGAATTGCTTGAGACTGGGAAGTTGTGGCTACAGTGAGCCATGCCTGAGTTACTGCACTCTAGCCTGAGTGACAGTGAGAGACCCTATTTAAATTTTAAAAAAAATATGTATTTTCATGCAACAGATTACTACAGAAATTTAGTTCTTATTATTAAGAATGGTAGTAATATCTTTAGCTCATCCCATTTAAAGGCATTAACTTTTTTTTTTTTTTCTTCTCAAGTGTTCCTGCCAGAGAAGAGGACTCTATCTTGCTTTCAGCATTTGCTGTGCTATGAACTGAATTTTATCTAGCCCCCTTTCAATTCACAGGTTGAAGCTCTACTTTTTTTTTTTTTTTTTTTTTTTTTTTTTTTTTTTTTTTGAGACGAAGTTTCACTCTTGTTACCCAGGCTGGAGTGCAATGGCGCGATCTCGGCTCACCGCAACCTCCGCCTCCTGGGTTCAGGCAATTCTCCTGCCTCAGCCTCCTGAGTAGCTGGGATTACAGGCACGCACCACCATGCCCAGCTAATTTTTTGTATTTTTAGTAGAGACGGGGTTTCACCATGTTGACCAGGATGGTCTCGATCTCTTGACCTCGTGATCCACCTGCCTCGGCCTCCCAAAGTGCTGGGATTACAGGCTTGAGCCACCGCGCCCGGCCAACACAGGTTGAAGCTCTAAAGGCCAGTGTGACTGTACTTGAAGATAGGATCTTAGGGAGGTAATTGAGGTTATATGAGGTCTTCCATAAATCTTTCCTTGGTAAAGGCTCTCAGATCCCTTAAAAGTATTTAAACATTGGAGTGAAATTAATTTGCTGTTCTGAAAAGTTCAAGATCAAGTTTCCAGCAGGGTACAGTTGTTGGTAAAGGAACTCTTCCTGGCTGCAGGGAAAGGGAAAGGTGGGAGGGCAGTGTGGGGAGAGAGTGAGTGTGTGTGAGAGAGGCTTAATTCCATAGAATTAATATTAATATATTAATGTTCTTTTTCTCTCTCTCCTCTTCTCTCTTTCTCTCTCTCTACCGCCCCCCCCACCCCCACCACCTCTTAAGTAGTAAATTTTGCCTCCCACAGCCTGCCTGCCTTTCCCTTTCCCTGGAGCCAAGTGGAGAGCCTTTAACAAAAACTGAACCCTGCTAGAACCTTGATCTTGGACTTCCCAGCCTCAAAAACTGTTAACATTAATAAACTTCAAAGAAATACACTGTCCCCAATATAGGTGGTATAAAATTGACAAAAAGAATGGTAAATTGATTTGACTCCAGTATTTAAATACTTTTAAGGGATCTGAATGCACATTAATTTGCATACTACTTGGTACCTTTACTGCAGTATGAAATGTATCTGAAAAATGTATGTGATTACCACAAATACTTTCACTTTAAGTAGTACATTTTAATTCAGAAAGTGTTTAAAATTCACTGGAGAAAGTTTTGCCATTAACTCATTATTTTATATTACCGCTAATGTCATTAATCTTACATGTTTCATGTATGTTCCTTACAAAGTTGTCCTATATTATAAAGGAGGCATACAGATATTCCGGGAATCATCTGAAAATGCACTTTTCTGATTCTGTACATATGTGGTGAGGTCTGAACTCTGCAGAGCTATTAAGCTCTCAGTTAATGCTAATTCTTCTGATATAATAATTACATTTTTAGTACAGTATCAAGGTCTTTTAATTTTTTGAAACCATCAGTACTAACTGAAGTTACCTGATTTCTTTGTTGATGGCATCCAATTGTTCCTGAAGCATCATGGCTAGAGTCTGGGCATCAGAATGACCACTTGGAGAGAGAAGATCCATTGAGCTAAAAATTGTTTCTCTGTCATCATCATCAATATCAGACATTTCAGTGTCACTCTCAAAAGGGTGGCTGCTTAGTACTCCAATCTGTTGAGTTCTATTCCACTCATGATCCCCAAGAGATTTCACCTGAAAGGTGAATGAAAAATGCATAATATTTACCATATTTTTCATATTCAAAGCACTAATCTCAAAGACAGCAACAACAACAACAGGCATGCTTTTACAACTGACCTTGCAAAAACTCAACCAATTATTAACATTTTAATTTATTTGCTTCCATAAAATCGTTCCTTGACATCTTAAGTAATGCAAGGGATTGTCAGCATAAATATCAAGATTTTAATAGACATAAATATGATAAATTACATATGATTTATAGTTCAATCACATTCCAAGGTAACAATTACTTTAAAACATGTATTTTCAATACGTTTCCTTATTTACAAATATAATAATCTTTATTTGTACTCAAGCATTCATGTATTATACTAATCAGTCTTCCTATAATTTCTTATTATAAGCTCAGGCAACAAATATTATGACATAAGAAATTACACAATAATTATTTTCCCAACATTTATGGACATCGATTGTAAGAAAATATTATTTAAAATATTACAAAGTGATATGCATGTATACTTCACAGAGATTTCAGGTTAATTCCAGACCACCCTGATAAAGTGAATATCACAATATAGTCACACAAGTTTACTGGTTTCCTGATGAATATTTAAGTTGTTTATTCTCTACTGAAGTCTATTAAGTAATAGCACTATGTCTAAAAAATGAAGATATCTTCATTAAAAATACTTTATAGCTAAAAAATGTTAATGATAATCTGAGCCTTCAGTGAGTTTTAATCTTTTTGCTGGTGAAGGGTCTTGCCTTGATGCTGATAGCTGTCTGATAAGCGTAGTGGTTGCTGAAGGTTGGGTGGCTTTAAAAATTGTCAAATTTAACAAAATAAGACAACAGTGAAGTTTGCCACATTGATTGATTCTTCCTTTAATGAAAGATTTCTTTGTAGCATGCAATGCAGTTTGATAGCATTTAACCCGCAGTAGAACTTCTTTCAAAACTGGAGCCAATCCTCTCATACCCTGCCACTGTCTTATCAACTATGTAACGTATTTTTTTATATCCTTTGTTGTCATTTTAACAATGTTCACAGCATCTTCACAAGCAGTAGATTCTATCTCAAGAAAACACTTTCTGTTCATTCATAAAATGTAAATCTTCATCTGTTGTGATTTTATTATGAGATTGCAGCAAATTAGTTGCATTTTCAGGCCCCACTTCTAATTCTAGTTCTCTTGATATTTTACCACATCTGCAGTTACTTTTTCCATGGAAGTCTTAACCCTTCATAGTCATCCATGAGGGTTAGAATCAATTTCTTCCTAACTCTTATTAAAATTGACTTTTTAAAATACAGTCTTGCTTTGTTGCTCAGGTTAAAGGGTAGGGGCTTGATCTCCGCTCACTGCAACCTACACCTCCCGAGTTCAAGCAATTCTTGTGCCTCAGCCTCTGTAGTAGTTGGGATTGCAGACATGCACCACTACACCCAGATAATTATTGTACTTTTAGTAGGGATGGGACTTTACCATTTTGGCCAGGCTGGTCTCAAACTTTCAACCTTAGGTGATTCACCTGCCTCAGCCTCTCGAAGTACTGGGATTACAGGTGTGAGACACTGTGCCTGGCCAAGGTTGATGTTTTGACCTTCTCCCATGAGTCATAAATGTTCTTAATGGCATATAGGATGATGAATCATTTCCAGAATGTTTTCAATTGGCTTTGCCCCAATCCATCAGAGGAGTCACTACCTATGGCAGATATAGCCCTATGAAATATATTTCTTATCATATTTGAAAGCCAAAATTACTCCTTCATCCATGGGATACAGAATGAATGTTGTTTTAGCAGGCACAAAAACAACATTAATCTCTTTAAGCATCTCTGTCTGAGCTCTTAGGTGGCCAGGTGCATTGTTAATGAGTAGTAATATTTTGAAAGGAATATGTTTTTCTGAGCAGTAAGTCTAAAAGGTGTGTTTAAAATATTCAGTAAATCGTGCTGTAAACAAATGTGCTGTCATCTAGGTTTTGTTGTTCCAACATAAAGCACAGATAGAGTGGATTTAGCATAATTAGTGAAGGCTCTAGGATTTTCAGTATAGTGAATAAGCTTTGGCTTCAACTTAAAGTCACCAGCTGCATTCATTCACCCCTGTCCTTTGAAGCTTTGAAGCCAGGCATTTACTTTTCTTCTCTAGTGATGAAAGTCCTAGCTGGCACCTTCTTCCAGTAGTAGTCAGTTTCATCTACATTGAAAACCTGCCATTTAGTGTAGTTACCTTCATCAATTATCTTATCTAGATCTTAATAAATTTTAACAGCTTCTACATCAGCACTTGCTGCTTCACCTTGCACTTTTATGTTGCGAAGATGGCTTCCTTCATTAAACCTTTATGAACTGAACTAACCTCTGCTATCTTAAATGTTTTCTTCTGCAGCTTCCTCACCTCTCTCAACTTTCATATAATTGAAGAGTTGGGATCTTGCTCTGGATTAGGCTTTGGTTTAAGAGAATGTTGTGCATGCTTTGATCGTTTATCACTAAATGATCAAATTTGTGTAGACCACTAAAAGTCTCCATATTAGCAGTAAGGCTGTTGCTTTTTTTTTTTTTTTTTTTTTTTTTAACCTGAGGTGGAGTCTCACTCTGTCAACCAGACTGGAGTGCGTCATCTTGGCTCACTGTAATCTCTACCTTCCAGGTTTAAGCGATTCTCTCATTCAGCCTCCTGAGTAGCTGGGATTACAGGTTCCTGCCACCATGTCCAGCTAATTTTTGTATTTTTACTAGAAATGGGGTTTCACCATGTTGGTCAAGCTGGTCTCAAACTCTTAACCTTGTGATCCATGCACCTTGGCCTCCCAAAATGCTGGGATTACAGGCATGAGTCGCCCAGCCTGGCCCTTTGCTTTCTTATTTGCATGTTCACTGGAGTAGCACCTTTTACTTTCTTTCAAGAACCTTTTCATTGCAGTCACAATTGGCTAACTGTTTGATGCCAGAGGCCTAGCTTTTGACCTAACTCAGTTTTTGACATTTCTTCCTCACTAAGTTTAATTGTTTCTAGCTTTTGTCTTAGTGAGAGATGTGCAACTCTTCCTTTCACTTGAACACTTAAGGCTACTGTAGGGTTATTAATTGACCTACTTTCAATATTGTTGTGTCTTGGGGAATACAGAGGCCCAAAGAAAGGGAATGTGATGGAAAATGGCTGTTGGAGCAGGGGCACACACAACATTTACAGATTAAGTTCACTGTCTTATACTGTCATGGTTCACGGTGTGCCCAAATGATTACAATAGCAACATCAAAGATCACTGTTCGCAGATCACCATAACAGATATAATAATAATAAAAGTTTAAAATATGAAAACTGGCTGGGTGCAGTGGCTCACACTTGTAATCACAGCACTTCGGGAGGCCAAGGTGGGTGGATCACTTGAGCACAGGAGTTTGAGACCAGCCTGGGCACGATGGTAAAACCCCATCACTACAAAAAATACAAAAATTAGCTGGGTGTAGTGGTGCCCCCTTGTGGTCCCAGCTACTTGGGAGGCTGAGACAAGAGGATTGCTTGAGTCCAGGAGTTCAAGGCTCCAATGAGCCATGATCGCACCACAGCACTCCAGCCTGAGTGACAGTAATACCCTGTATCAAAAGAAGAAAAGAAATACTGTGAAAATTGCCAAAATACAAGACAGAGATACAAAGTGAGCACATGCATTGAAAATATAGCACCTGGGATCACAAGGTCAAGAGATCAAGACCATCCTGGCCAACACGGTGAAACCCCGTCTCTACTAAAAATACAAAAAAAATTAGCTGGGCGCAGTGGTGTGCACCTGTAGTCCCAGCTACCCAGGAGGCTGAGGCAGGAGAATTGCTTGAACCCGGGAGGCGGAGGTTGCAGTGAGCTGAGATCTCACCACTGCACTCCAGCCTGGCACCTGGCAACAGAGCTAGACTCTGTCTCAAAAAAAAAAAAAAGAAAAAAAAAAAAAAAAAAGAAAAGAAAAAAGAAAAGAAAATATAGCACCCATAGACTTGTTTGAGGCAGAGTTGTCAAGATCTTTCAATTTGTAAAAAAACAAACATAATGTTTGTGAAATACAATAAAGCAAAACACAATAAAACAAGGTAGACCTGTAATTTTTAAGCCAAAGGCATGCTAATTTACATGGTTATGTTTTTTTTTTTTTAATGGATATAAGAAATCTTCCATTTAAATGAGAGTTTTGAATAACCAATAGACCAGTGTTTTTCCAGCTGTTATCTAAATGTATGAGGAGGTTGGGCATAAAAGAGATTTTAGATCTCTTTTATTCTGCTTTTCAAAAAATTGATTTTCATTTTTGTAATTATATAGATACATTCCATAGATACATGATACTTCTCTGAGCACTGAGTTAAGAATTAAGAACCAGAATTAGTATTTGTGTTACAATTTGTTTTGGTATCTAGTAGCACTAATTAATTTGTCACATAATAACAAGAAAAGAATTGAGATTAACTTAACATAGTCTGCATTTGTTCATTTATTTATTCACATATTCAACAGAACTGAATGCCTACTATGATGGATTAATTCATATATGAACATACTGGTACCAGTTGAAACCCAAAAGGTATCAAGTGCCTGTGTTCAAATATGGACAAATGGATTACATAGTATTTGGGGTACATAAAAGTGGTTGAAAGAACAAAGTATCCTTAGGCACCAAAGGACTATTTTACTTCTCTATAAAATATATTACTCAACAAAATTAGCTTAAACATTTTAAATTAAGTTACTGTCCAAATTAGGCTAGCACTGCCCCTTATCATTCATAGTTCTATAAGAATACAAGGAATAATTTATGTACATTTTCTTCAAAGTGTTTTTAAAACACTAATTTTAATTAAATTAAATTGAATGAACAATGTGAATGCCATTGTTCAAGTGCCCAAGAAAATCAAAAGGTCACATGTTTGGCAATGTAGTATAATAGACCAAGCAGAGTATGGAAAACTACACAAATACAGGCTCAAGTTTTGACTCCATCACTTTGCTACCTGTGCAATGTTGAACATTTAACTTTTCTGAGCCTCAATGTTTTATGTCTGAACTTGACATATAAGTAGTACCCACTTGATAAAGTTAAATGAATAAGTACATAGGACATGCTTATTCAATTTCTGGCCTATAGTTGGTCTTTATTTTACTTATAGTTCTTTAATTTAATGTCATATTCTATGTTCCAAATTAATAAATATTCTAGAATTTCAGTTATCTCAGTGCTAAAATTCTATCCAAATGAAATGATCTACTTAAATAAAACTAGAGAAGAGTTGAAGTTAAAAGATTAACCTTTGGCTCATCTCTTCGCACACCCATGCGGCCTCTCCTTGGTCTTCTTATTACTTTAGTTGTTCTGTAATCAGACTGGCTGTCCACAAGGGATCCCACTGAATACCGCAACTCAGCTGAGGTGTCTAGGTGCGTTCTGGAAAAAAGAAAATATAGAAAACAATACAATCTCAAAAGTTAAACTTACAAGCTGTTTAACTGGCAATAAAGGAGGAGTCCTCAAGGAAATCAACCTCAAGGAAGAAAACTGATGACTGTCATGACTCTCTGAGGCCTCTTTAGAGACTAATGTCAGAAGTTGCAGTCTTAGGTCCATTCCTGAAATTTAACTGCATTTTCTCCTTTTAGATTTTGTAATACTTATAACCTTTCTTATTATCATTTTCAAATGTAGTAGTAAAATGAATCATATTAAGATTGATAACCAAAATCTATGAGGTTAAATTCTGGCAATTTAGTTTGAGCTCTTTTGTTTATATCATCATATATGTTATTGATTACTCTATCTATTTCAAATATTTCTTATAAATCTAGCTAAAAATGTCTAAAATTTGGGGGGCCCAGAGCTTTTCCAATTTTAAAATTTTTGGAGAAATTTATTCACAACTTGTCTATTTTTCACATTCTATTTTTTAATTTAGAGAACCAACAAAGTGCTTAAATTTAGATGGACCCAAGGCTAATGGTCTTATTTTAAAAAAAATAAAATAAAATAGGGTATATTACCAAAAGGATTTTTAAAAAGTTTTTAATAAGATATTGATCCAAAAGGATGAAGAAATTTTTTTTCATAAGCACATTTGATTCTGAAATCTGTTTAAAGATGAAAGAGTTGGAAAATTTTAGTTGGAAAATATCATTACATAGTTTTCAATAAACATGGTAATAAAGTACCCTATAATCGAAAAGGTTTCTCCAGGCATATTACTTATATGTGGATTTACAGCAAATTCATTTTATTGTTACAATAATGATGCTAATAACAGTGACATCATGCTATCCTATAAAATGAAATAACAGATCCATCATCAGTAGGAAATACACTTAAAGCTGTGTGCTCTGTTGAATTTGAGGCTCCTGCTGATTGAAAATACTATCTGTTTTAGTTATCCTTGTGAACAAAGACAGGCACTTTCAAATATTTGACATTAAAAAGGGGAGGTGAGGTTTGGGTGTTTGCAACAGCAGAAGACACTAACTTAAGAAAATTAGTGTTTTGCCAGATGGTGCATTAGAACAAATGAACTAAAAAATTATTTCTCAAATAGGTGACAGCTATTGTTTTTGTAGCAATATACTCGAGACTTAATCACATAAACAGGTTTTATCACGGATAAGTCACATAAAAGAATTAACCAACCAGGCCATATTCATAAAGGATACAACTCTCTGTCTTTATCTGTTGGGCAGAGGCTCTAAGTTTCATGAAGACAAAGATCAGATTTTAGTCACCTTCCTATGCCCAGGAAGATGTTCCTAGCACATAATAAGCACTTCATAAGTATCTGGCAAGATAATAAATGAATGAAATGATTATAATACAGGCTTAAACTATCTTGCTCTGAACAGTCCGGATTCCTTTTCCTGTGACTGCTTACCTTAATGTCCCTTTAGGCATTAGAATGGTGTTTCTAACGTTATAAGTCATCATCCTAGGAGCATTGTTTTCTTGTTGATTTATCTCATAGCTCCAGATGATTTATAAAAAAATAAAAATAAAGCAAAACACAGATCTAATCATATCAATTTTGTGTTTAAAATTATTAAATATCCTTAAAGGCCCTCTATAATTTGAGCCTTTGCCACTTTTCAGCTTCATTTTAAGGTACTCTCTGTCTTGCTTTTCAACCAGCTGTACTGACTTTCTTTGAATTCCAGTAACTCACACTTCCTTTTCATTTCCTTGAACATGCTGTTTTTTGTTGTTGTTGTTGTTGTTGTTGTTTATTTTTTTTCTGCTGAAAACAGTCTCAACACATTTATGTGGTTAACAGTTTTAAGGTCTCACTTTAAAAGTACTATTGCCATCTACTATTCTAGCTCTTAGTATTCTTTTTGTTATAACAGTCCTCAAACTAATCTCTCTCCGCTTTTTTCCAGTTCTCAGAGCTAGTTCTATAACAGGAGAAAAGAGAGATAATATTATCATACTAGTTCAATTTTAAAATCATTCTAGGTGTTCAATATTTTGAAAGGTTTTGGAGGGTCTAAGTAAGTCAAAAAAGAGGCATTTTTTTTTTATAAAGCAATGAATTCTGTAGCTTCTCCTTCTGAATCTCCTGTGACTCTTGCATATAATCTCATTAAAGAACTTCCATAGATAAGCCAGGTAAAAACTTCTTTAGAGAAAACCTGTCACCCATTGCTCTGCTTCCCAGAGTGTCCTCTATTGTCCTTTTCAATTATCCAGATCCTACCTTTCTTCAGAGTTGAGCCAAATCAAGCCATTTCTAGTGCCTCGAACTCATTTTACTTTCTTCTCAGATGAGATGCTAAGAGGAGAGTGGTCACTGATACTCACTTGCCGTAGCTTCTCTCTCCTCACCTCCCCACCTGTTAGATTAAAACTTAGTGGACTGAGTTCTCACACATCTCCTATTTCCATTATTGTTTTTTAAAAATTATTTGTCCTCAGAAGCATGAATGTTCTATAAATAACTTCTGTTTAATAAATGTTCAGTTATCCTGTAACTTATTATAAGCTCTGTTTAGCTAGCTTACCTTAAAAATTTCTATAATACTTTATACTTGTGACACTATTTACTATACATATAATCCCCATTGCTTACTTGTCTTATTTTATCTGCAAAGCAAGCCTGTGAGATGATCGAAAAAATATTGTTTATGTATATTTAGGTACAAATATATATTTGTTTAGAACATCATTAAGAAAAATGGGTTTTCCAAAATCAAGCACTTTGCAATTATCCAGCTGAGCCCTAGGAATGTGGGTTGTCTTATTCTTGGTCTAGGGTTCTTTCTACTACAATCTGTTGTGTCAAAGAACAATTGTTCTATAGGGGTCCAGTCATCCTTCATTGTAGATAAATGTCACATTGTTAGGCTGTCCATAATGGCTCAGTGCAGTAATAGCCTTTTAGATAACACTTTTGAAACTCTGTATTCTGAGACATAAGGTCAAAAAGACAGGGAAATGGCCATTTGTTCTTATTAAAATATATTTAATCTATTGATTTTATAATGCTTATTCTATGCATTGACTCCTTTGACATTTTATCAGTTGCCTTCTCCATCATCCTCATCATAAGTATCATAACCATGTGAACACATATCATTTTTACATCTGAACTGAAATTATTTCTTAAAACTTTGAAAGCTTAAAAATTTGAAAAATATGTATGATTTTCTCAATTAATGACTTACATATATAAAAGTTCTTTGGGTGTTTTTATGCCTGCCAAACTGTTTATCATACTAAACTGAGTATGGAAATATTTAAAATATTAAATATTGGTTTTACTTACATTTATATCAAAAAGAGTGTAAGATACTTTAGGATTTTTTTATTTGAATTTTTATTTGAGCATCTGAAAAATGCTTTACCAAATATTCATTTATTCATTCTACAATATATCTTGAAAGTATACTATATGCAAGACAGGTTTTAGGTAGATATTATGGTAGTTATCAAAACAAATGCAAACCCCTCCTCTGGTGGAGTTAGCATTCTAAAGACAAACATAACACTAAGAAAGATGAACCTCTCCTAAAAGCCTACAGTGGTGGAAAGTTTCAAACAGTTGCTATTATTCTGTGTTGCCTAATAAATATATGATTAAATGAGTGAGTCCTTTCAGGGTTTCTAAACAACTTCAAATAAAAAATCCAAAGCACAAAAGAAAATTTTATGTGAATTATTAACATAAAGAACTATCTGCCATCTGTTTATCTATTTATCTATCTACCTATCATCTATCAAGTAAGCAACTTCTTTTGATATAGTGAGTCAAAGTAGATGAGTATGATTAAATTTATTTGAATTTTTTTACCTGATTCATTTCTCTTTTCTTCTTTATTTGCAATTACTTTATCAAAATAGGTAGCTGCTAAGTGACCATAGTATTTGTTTAGTCACATTAAGCATTGAACATATTTCTGCATATTTCTACATTAAACACATATCGAAAATTTTATGTCAAATTCAATTTCTGTATTGAATACATATAGAGAAAAGGGCCAATGTCTCTCCTTGCAATGAGATGCAATCTCCCTATAAACAGTTCAATTTTTCATTTAAGAATCTTTTAATATATTTCTACATATATAATTAAATGCATAATACAAAAGGTAATTTAATTTTTTATTTATTATCTACAGAAAGAATTGTTAAATTAAAAAGCTATTTTTGAAAGTAAAAACTATAAATCAATAAAGAGTCAAAACATGGTAATGACTAGCGAGCAGTAAGAGGTACTGATTTATTTTAGCTGAGGACATAACAAAACCATGAGGGAATTCATGTTGATTTTCAGTGAACTATAAATAAGCTTTTAATTTAATGTTACCTTGATATAGTGGGTTCAATTAAAGAGCCAGTTCTCATTTTCAGTTGATCAAGTTCAGATCTCAGCTTTTCAATTTCTTCTGCTAATCTTTCCTAAAAATCAAAACAAAAAGTTACTCACATGTCAGTAATACCAGCAACCAATTATGATAAACCAGGGTTAATGGCTTTTTTTAAAGGGAACACTGAGGGTATATTTTTATTAAAGGTTATTAGCCACAATAATAAAGCATGCCAAAATTTTTCCCTTGTAATAAAAAATGTGGAGAGCAGAAATCAATAAAAAATTATCTACATTCCCTAACATTCACTAATCCTAAATATTTGAAAATTCATGGGAATATTAAAACTCTGACTAGCTATGTAGACATCACTTAAATATGCAGAGTAGAAATGATATTCAGTTTTAAAAATAAAGAAAATGACTTATTTATGCAATGAATGAAGAATTTCCATTATTCTATGAGGGTTAAAGGACATATAGTTGAAGGAAAAAGATGATTCAATTAAAAGAAAAAGGAAAGAAAAGTAAAAATCATCACCTTAAAGAAAAAAAGCTAACAACCTATTAGCTTCATAGTGGCACAATTATTTGTACTTAATAATTTTCTTCAATTGGCATGGTAGGCTCTGGTCTGTAAATAATCCCTATCTTTATGTCTTAGAGCCTTTAATTAACTGCTCATGTAAGCATTTATTTTGGTTTTAATGATTACAGCTTTTATATTGTTATATATGTCTAAATGTATCCTTCTCGATTTTTCTATTAGTTTTTTCCCCTTCCCAGCACCTAGTGCTTGATATTTTACTTGATTCAAACTTCTTTTTTTAACACACTTTTTTTTTTTTTTTTTTTTTTTGTCAATGTGGCCTTTGCAATGTTTTTCTTTTCTGTTCTTTTTATCTCACTACCATCCTACTCTAAGCCCTTTTTAATCTTTTTCCTGAATGATTTTTACAAGCTTCAGTCTCTTTCCTACATATTCCTCTACTAGACATATAATTTTAAAACATATGTGCAATCAACTAATGCTTTGCTTTAAAATGCCAATAGTTTCTTACTGACTTTGAAAATTTCTTTGTTCATTATTTTCACAAATGTGCGGTGAGTACTTCTTGTGTGTCAGGAACCAGAGATACAGTAGTTGGCAGACAAATGTTTTTCCCTCCTGCAATTTACAATTTAGTAGAAAAGACAAACAATAAACAAGTAGAAGGATAGGAATATAGAATGTTGTCAGAAAGGAGAAAACAGGGAGTCATGGAACAGTTTTCAATAAAGTGATAATTGAGCAATAACCTAAATAAAGGAGAAAGTAAAAAATGAAAATATTAGAAAAAGGCAAGGCAGATAAAATCAACAGCAGGTGCATATGCCCATTAGTGGAAGTGAAGTAGAGGGCAAGGAATCCAGTGTGGCTGGATTGGAGAGGTTAAACAGACGAGTAGAGGATGGATTTTTAAAAGTATGATTGCAGAACTCATGAAGGGTAGTCTAAAACACATTGTAAAGTACTTTAAACTCTCTGACTTTTAGGCTGCATGAGATAGGCAACAACTGGAGGATTTTAAAATATTTATTTATTTATTTATTTAGAGACAGGGTCTCACTTTATACCTGCTCCTGGGCTCAAGTAATCCTCCTGCCTCAGCCTCCCAAGCAGTTAGGACTACAGGTATGCACCACTGCACCTCCCTAATTATTTTTATTTTTGTAAAGATGGGGTCTTGCTATGACTCCTGGGTTTTCTAGCAGAGAAGGGAATGATCATTCTAATTGCTGTAAAATAGACTGTCAAATTAAATTGGGAGGCAAAAAAGAGAGGAAATTATTAGGCAATAATGGTTTGGATAAGAACGGTGTTACAGTAAGACTGGCTGTGTTTTGGCTATATTGTGAGAGTAATAAGAGGATTTAATAACTTAAGGATTAAATACTTAGTTTACATATTCTAGTGCCAACTTAACATCCCCATTTGGACACCTAGATATCTCAAATGTAACATGCCAATCTACCCCACTACCACACACCAAACATCAATCACCTAACCTGTTGATTTAAGTAACTAAGAGGATTTAATATTGAACTAGATGTGGAATATGAAATAAACATAGGGGTCAAGATTAAATCCAAGTTTTTTAGCCTGAATAACTGAAAGAAAGAAATTGTGATTATGATTTACTGAGAAGATTGCTGATGTAACAGGTTAGATGATTGATCTTTGATGTGTGGGAGTGGGGTAGAACGGCATGTTACATTTGAGATATCTAGGTGTCCAAATGGGGATGTTAAGTTGGCACTAGAATATGTAAACTCTCTCAGGGGAGAGGACCCAGTAGGTAATCTAAAGTTTGATGTGCTCAATTTATAGATGATATTTAAATCCAGGAGATCAGATGAGGTCACTAATAAAAAATCAGAGAGAAGAAAGGATAGCTAACTAAAAAGTTCAAATTTTAGAGATAAAGATGGAAAGGCAAACACTGAGAAAAGAGGTTGAACATACAGAGGGTTTTGCTGATAATGGACTATAAGTATAGTTAGTTCAGTGGAAATCTGAGGAATTATAGATGTGGTCAGATTAGTGAATGTGCCCAGCTAAATGTGGTGATAGTTCAGAAATGAGGTATGACTGGGGATTTACTCTCTCTGGAGATTGATATAAGCAAGAATGCAAAGCATAACATGATTAGTACTCTTGGCTGCTTAGGCAGATTGTTGGAGTTACAAGGTTTGGGTAGGTGGCGGGGGAGTGGGTTCTGGGGATATTGCCAGGAGCACACAGATCTTTGGATAACATAACACGCACAACAAGATCAAGTCCAAAATTCGCAATCTGCTCAAAAGCTACTTCTTTAAATACATACTAGTCACAGTAAACTTCTGATGATTCATCAGATCAACCATCTTGGTTTTCTCTGTGTTCTTGCAGAGGATTCATCCTCTACCTAGAATGTTCTACCTTTCTCTATTTGTTAAGATTGTATATACATGTCTTTAAGAGGCTACTAAAATATAATCTCCTCTGTGTTGTCTTTGTGAACTACCTCAGAAAGAATCAGATACTGTCTTCTAGGTCCCGTATCACATTGTCCTAAAGACCTATCTATCTATCAGCAGATTATGGACACCATGACTGTAGAATCAAATAGTTATTTTTAATTGCACCATATTTTGCAGAATCCAGTAGGGTTAAATGTGTAATTGTTCTCTCGTTCCTCTATTCTTAATCTTTTCCAATATCTTCCCTATGCCATACTGCCCTCCCCTTCTCTCCCCTTCCCCTTTTGCCCTCCCCTCCCCTCCTCTCCCCTCACCTGCCTGCCTGCCTGCCTTCTTCTCCTCTCCCTTCTTTCCTTCTTTTTCTCCATTCCTTCTCTCTCAATTTCTTCTGTCTTTTGTCAACACACAATTATAGATCACTTCTTAAGTTAGCAACCCTATCTTCTTTAACAAGATAATATAAAATTGTTAACATAAATTTTGTAGGGTAATGAAGAAGGAAAATACATATTAGCAATTAAAAATTTCACAATATACCCTTAGCTGCCTCTTGTACTACATACCCTACAATAGGAATAATTTATTCCAGCCAAATCGTTGTGCCTATTATTTATGATCTCACACTCAGTACCCATCCTCTCACCCCACCAAGCACCTGTGATCATTCTGCACACACTGTCTGAAAGCCTTGCATCAGAGTCCTACTTTTCCTTAAATCTTCAGTCAAATCTTTCCTTCCTGAAGGCTTTGTCCCAGTAGCAATATATCATGGTCTTTCCTACCCATAGCTCTTACTGTCTACGTCACTCATTTGACCATTCGACACTTGGCATCTGCTACCCTGCATCTTCACTGGTTTGTAAAGGCTGTGTTCTCTCTCCACAATTAGATTTGTTTAGCCCTTTTAGAACTAGAATAATGTTTGGACATATATAACTTAGCATAATTCTTATATATAATAGTATTTAATATTATTTCTGCTGAAAGAATATCTAAAACTAGACAAATTAGTGCATATATTTTAATTCTATTTATATAAGACATAAAGTATGACAACAATTTTTAAACGAGTAAGTCAAGATGGTGATTATCCCTTAATGGAGGAGTATGACTATAGACTAATTTGGGGGAAGCTTCTGTAGTGCTAATTTTTGGTGAATTTGGATTGCAAAGATTCATTAAGCTCTCCCTCTCTATGTACCCTTTTCTGCAGGTATAATAAAAAAATTGTTTTACAAAGACAACATACAAAACTTATTTTTTCAAATTTATTTCACAACAAAACATTCATCAGTGGAATAGAAAATAAAAATAGAAAAATGGGCAAAAAATGTAACTTTCTATTATACCTTATCATGTAAAGATTCTTCAAGATTCTTTCTGAAAGTTTCTGATTCTTGAATTAAAACATTCTGAAAGAAAAGAAAATAGCAAAAATAATTAATAAACAAAAAATACTTAAATATATAAATTAATATCCTATCACTCAAGAATCCTCTTGGATTTCTTCCTTGGTACAGCTATTTTTTGGTTTCCATGGAAACCATGTTTTGATGAAATTTTCAAATGTGAGACCTTTACATTTTAAAAAGTACATAATTTAAATGGGAAATGTTATTTTGTAACACTTGGATGAACAAATGAAATATTACATTTCAAGCTATTTCTGTTTGCCTTTTCTTAGCCAACATTTTAAATTAGAAACTATTGGTTATTCTTCAAATAAGAAAAAGTGAATAACAAACTAAGTCTTAGAGGCATTATAAAAAATTCAAAAGAACTCACTTCTATTATCTGAAGAAAGAAATTATCAAATCATATTATTAAAAAGTTCACTTTCTGGACATCTATTACAATGTGGAATTAACAATTTATAATGATACCTAAATTATTAGAGAAATAAAAAATTCCAGCTATTCATAAACCTAATATTACACGTCACAAAGTCATGTGGCAGTAAGTTAGCATCACAGATACTTAAAAGAAACCTTTCCAGAAAATTATTGTTGTTGTTAAACATTATTTATTTTTTTCTACAAAGCAAACAAGTACTACAAGGCATTATTTAAAATAATGCATTCTTTTCAAATTTATAGAGTAAAATTAAACTAAGAGTGTAGTAAATTGTATAGTGGCCATGTATTTGGAGTTGTATGGAAAGAAGACATGCCTTATGACTTTCTAATAGGTAAATTAATGAAACTATTTTGACATTTTATCAAAACATTTTCCCTATTTTGGTGTATCTTATGTATTAAGGGAAAATGTCTAGCTAAAATAGTGATTGGCATTCATTCTAAATTTCCAAAATTATGTGATCATCCGGGTTTTATACCCTACCTGTATTTATGCTCTGGAATTGGTAACCAGCTCACATAACTCTTGCTGGTCTGGTAGCTGCCAACTATCAGTGAGATTTATGTAACTGTAAATCACATTGCAGACTGTACAGAAGCACTTTTTCTGAAATAATGCAGCTGAAAATACTGGGGTCCTGAACCCTCTACTGGGATTGATACCAGTTCTACTGATGACTTAAACTCACTTACATTTTGACTTTTAGACTGGTGTGTAGATATCAGTCACTTGAGACATGAATAGTTCAAACCATCTCCCCCTCTGCAAAAATATTGACTTTTGTCTCGTAACTTTCTATTTTGCATACCAGGCAGAGGATAAATAAAATATTTTCATCATCCAAGCACAGTATATTTTAATACATTTGCCTCATATGAACAAGCCAATATAAAAGATTCATGTATCATGTAACACTTTTGTATTCATCCAAAATTCGATCTTATACTTATTTAAATAAAAATTATGCATTCATTTTTTAAGAATATATCAGGTATTTTTAAAAACGAAGTAAATGGATCATCTGACCATTACAATGATTGCAGCTGTATATAAAACAAACATGATCATAGGAACACTGCAAAATATTCATGTGATTTTACCCTTCTATCATTTTACCTTTTCTTCTAGAGCCGCCATTCTTTCCTTTAAGTGTAGTTGTAGGCGTTCGTTGGATTCAGTCAGAAGTCTATCAACAGTATCCGATAATCTCTTGTTATGCTCCTCATTCATTTTCTCTCTTTGCCTAGCCTTACATTTAAAAAAATGAAATAAAAATATATTTGAAAACTGTTTGAGATTATTTTTACAGTTTTGCTAGTTTAAATTGAATTAAATTTACATCTGTTTTGATTAAAATGGTGGAAACATTTTTCTTCAAAATTTACAGGGCATATTTGTAAGCTTTAAATATAACCCATACTCAAGTGAAGGCTTTCTTTTTATACAAAGAATATGAATTCATAACCTGCTGATGGGAGGTAATAGTTCTTAATACACATACTCTTTGAAGTTCTTGATTTTTCTCTTCAAGTTGACCCTCTAGATGTCTCATACGTTCTTCAATATTTCCATGTCTCTCTTCAGCCTGTTAAGAAATATGATAAGGCACCTGAAATGTAAGATTTGGTTTACTCTTTTCCTCCAAATAAATTGAAATAAAATGTAAAGCAAGCTACTACCAACTGCAAACATAGTTTTTAAAAAATAAACTTTCTTCAAACAGGCAGCTGAACAGCATTGCTTGAAATGTGTCAGCTACAAAGGCCTGTTACATCCAAGCATCAGCAAAACATTGGAGTTATTTATGAGCAATGAAATCAGCCAAATGTAACATGCAGACTGTGCATGGTTTGAACACAAACCTGCCATTGTCCGATTTTAAGCTCCTGAAGCACTGAACTGCACAGATGGTTGATTATCAATAAATAAAAGTAACATAATTTTTATAAACGAAAAGAAAAACTTAGATGGATTCTATTTAGCAATAGAAAGTAAAGTCCAGTAGGACTACCTTCCTACGTATGGAGATCATTTCTTGTAGTTTAGCTTCCATAACATATTGATAATCATCAGATGAGGTAGAAGAGGTTGGATCAGACTAACGAGTCAAGGAAAAGGAGAGGGACAAAATTGAAAAATCAGAACTAAAGACACTGACACTGAACAGAACGTAGCACAGAATGCTTAAAAGAAAAGTGTGACAGCAAATTTAATACTTTAATAGACAGAATTTTATGTGGAAAGAACTACACTGATATTTGGTGAACACGATGCAGTTGATGATTTTAAATAAAAAACAATAATATACTAAAATAAAAAGCTATCAATCTAAGACATGAAAGGTTAGTGATGGCTAGCAATGAGAGACTACTACAGAATGAATAAAGCAACTCTGAAAGAGTTATATAATAATTGGAATTATGGGAAACCAAACACCAGAATATGTCTCTGATAGATTGTTAAAAGTTTGTATTTCGGTTTGTTTATGTTACTTAAAAATAATGAAAACAATGTATCACAATGTTGAAGAAAATGCAGGGCAATGACTCAGGTGTAATTAATTTGGAACAAAATTTATTCTAAACCTTGCTTTGGAGAAATAAGATAAAAAACTAAGCCACGGGGTTATTATGAGTAGTCCCCAATTCAAGCAAGATTGAGTTTCCTCAGCAACAGGAAAACTTATGAAATGACTTCTGGTCTGTGAATGTGCATATGATCATTGGTCTAGAACCTAATGGCCTACTCTCAGATATAGGTTTAATTAGAGATTTTAAATGAAAATGATTAAAAGCCCTCGAATTATCAAGCTGACAATAATTCTGTGAGAACAAGAAATCTTGGTTGTGACTCTCCTGACATCAGGGGCCAATTCAAAGCTATTCCTTTACTGATTTGTTGCTGGGGAAACAAAATAGTGCCTAAGGTGAATAGGCAGCACAGTTGCCTTGTGAGCTCATGTTTGCCCAGTGCCAAGGTTAGATACATGTCTTGGAGGTGACTGTCAGGTTACCACAGGTGCAGAGTGTTCAACACATGTGACATTGCTGATAGCAGAATTGTTAGTATGTTATGCAGGGATTACATATGAAGTTACATCAACATTTTAATCCTTGAAAGTTAAATAATTATTATATCTAAATGACTCTATGTTAGGACTACAAATTTTAACTCCAGAGCATATTCTATCACAGTTTATAAGTTCATTCTAAAACCGTGAAACTCACTTTATGCCAATATAGAACTATATGTAAATATGACATGCAGCAACTGAAAAGAAACAGTAACCTATTCATGTATCGATTCAGATGCATATATACTATTTTATGCAATAAATTCCAATTTTTCCAATTTAGTCTATGAAAGCAAACATTTAACATTTCAATTCTGGTGTGCTTATGCAAACTACAATTAAATATTTACATTTTGTAAGGTTTTCCTTTGGATATTCTTATTTTATAAATGGGGAAGATAATAAAGATATAATAAATAACCTCCATGTTGACTTCAAATTTCCAAGTAGAAACTACACAGAGTTACCATGATCCCCAAATGTCATAAAATCGTTTTTTAATATCATTTAAAATTTAGAGTTATACTAAGAATATAGTAAGTGGGTCAAAATGTTGTTGAAATTATACAACCTAAATTCATAAAGGTATTTCTGATCCTTCAAAAGTACATTTTAACATGAGTTAGTGGTGTTAAAATTAATTAGATGACTGACTCAAGATATTTGAGACATGAATATTTCAACTGTCAAAACTGTGTCTTCAAAAATGCAAGTTTTTAGAGTCCTTTAAAACTTCTAGCTGTTTCTATTTATTTAAACTACATCAAACTTAAAAAAAAAATAACACGAAACAGCAAAATTTTGAAAATTCATTTCAGAGATAAATAAGAATTTTGTTCTGTTTAAATTACTATTCTATTGCTGATACATTTTATTGATACTAGAAATAAAAAAACCTCATTCACAATGAATTATGTCCTTGCTAAAGAAATATGCATTTTAATTAAAAAGTAGATATGATAAATCATAAGACTAGGAGCCCAAAGTAGTCATTTTTGGTTAATTGCCTATAAATTTGCCAAAGCAAAAGTTTTAGTTGTATCCATAGCTATTAACCAATAATTCTGACTTTCTAAAAGCTATAAAGCTCCACCTACAAACACAGATACACACACACATACATATTAAAAGGAGAAAAATAGTTTTACCAACCATACATAATACATTCAGACATCTCTTCTAAATAATACATACTGGGACCAATTTTCAACCAACACTACTGATTTGGAGTCTATGTGAGGACTACAGTTTCAGCAATTGTTGTAAATACAAAGATCACACAGAAATAGTCTGCTATTTTTTCTACTCCTTGGTGAGAAACTGAGTTTATCTTGGTTTCACTCCTTAATATAATATAGAAAAATTTAAAATATACCAGAGGTTTTAGGATAAACTACAGAGAGAAATGGTTTTGAGAAAAACATGAATAAACTTAGAAATGAAAAAGAAATTAAGTTTAAAGAGAAAGACCTAAAAAGAAGAAGAAGAAAGAAGAAAGAAGAAAGAAGAAGAAAGAAGAAAGAAGAAAGAAAGAAAGAAGGAAGAAGAAGAAGAAGAAGAAGAAGAAGAAGAAGAAGAAGAAGAAGAAGAAGAAGAAGAAGAAGAAGAAGAAGAAGGAGAAGAAGAAGAAGAAGAAGAAAGGTGACAGTAAAGTAGAAAAAAAGGATATTGGCCAAATAAAATGTCTGAGGGGTTGTTAAGAATATCACTCAAAATATAGGAGGAGAAACCCAGGTTTAAGCCAAAAAGAAATATTTTTACTTTAGTGGGTAGTCAAAAGGTTAACAAACAGAAAAGGACTATCATGGGCCATAATAGGGAAATATAAAAAGCAATTGAGATAAAAAAATAGGTTATAAATATAGATCCTAAAGGTCTTGAAAACAGAGTACAAGAAAAAGTACAAGATTGTTGAAATCACAAAACTTGGGACAAGAAGTGAAAGGGTGATCCTCAAATGTTACAAAAATTTTACAGGCAAAGGGAATATGTTCAGGATAAAATCTTAATACTTAAGGAGCTTTCATAATGAATAAAATATAGCAATAATATAAAAAGTATATATTTGAAATATGTTGTTGACATAGCACCAATCAGAACAGAAAGTATTAAAAAGGAGAGTGAATTACAGCATTTGAAGACTTTTTAGAAGAACTACAATTTTCTGAAAAATGAAATCCAAAGGATGCATAGACAGTGTAATTTTGACAGTATTGTAAGTAGGAGAAGACTGAGGAAGTTATTTTTTTGTGCCCAAGATTGTGTGTGTGTGTGTGTGTGTGTGTGTGTGTGTGTATGTATATATATGAATTTAACAGAATAGACAAGGGCAAAGAATATAAGCCACCTAATTCCAGTTATTTTTATATATTCTAAATCAAGAATTCTCGGGAATATTTAACATAAAACCCTTTATGTAAAATATTATATTTTAAACTATGCTTTTATTCTCAGTCTATCAAAAGCTAATGAGGAGCAATGATTTTCTGAATTGTAAATTGTGTTATTTGGGGGAAATTGCAGACTTTCTTATGTTTTAGTCAGGATAATATTGATAATTATTTTAAGCTACAATTTTACAAAAATTATTTTTCTTTTCTTTCTTTCTTTCTTTTTTTTTTTTTCTTTTTTTTTTTTTTTTGAGATGGAGTCTCTCTCTGTTGACCAGGCTGGAGTGCAGTGGCACCATTTCGGCTCACTGAAACCTCCACCTCCCAGGTTCAAGCGATTCTTCTGCCTCAACCTCTTGAGTTCCTGAGTAGCTGGGACTACAGGTGCATGCTACCACGCCTGGCTAATTTTTGTATTTTTAGTAGAGATCCGGTTTCACCATATTGGCCAGGCTGGTCTCAAACTTCTAAACTTGTGATCTACCCTCTGCAGCCTGTCAAAGTGCTTGGATAACAGGCGTGAGCCACCGTGCCTGGCCCAAAAGTTATTTTTCTTATTCAGTCACTCATCTAACCCCTCAAAACAGTAAAAATGAAAAAGATAACTCTCTTTGAAAGTCCTTTATGTTCTTTAGATGAAAAATCTAATTATGCATATCTTAGTCTATGTTATAGTTATTAAGACCAGTGTTTGCAAAAAAAAAAAAAAAAAAAGTGAAATATCTATATGTTTAAACAACTTTATATAATTTAGGGAACATTTTTTTCAAATTAAGTGATAAATTTATCTTTATCTTAGAAATCACACATTTCTGAAATTGCCAGAATGGTTTACTGGCATGGGTTGTGACTATAGAAGGATTTGATTTATAAACTTATCTTAATCAGTTTTATCCAACTAGTCACTCCAGTACTCTGTAAACAGCAACTATTTCAATTCTCTCTAATCCTGCTCTACTTTGTCAAAGGTTTGCCTTTCATTACCTGGTTAACTCTCCTATTTTAACCAACGGGGAGATCAATTCACTGTTCATTATTAATTACTTGCTTTTTTAGAAAATCAAGCATGTGTGTCTGCTTCATTGCTTCATCAATTATTTTGGGTAAATCCTAATGCCATAATTTTTAACTTAAACTTACTTATCATACTCATTTATTGTAGTAGCCTTGAAAACTTAGCAAATATTAACAATTGTGTAAAAATATAAATTGTGTGATTATTTGTGAATTCATATCAAAAGTCAAACATACTTTTAGTGACAAAATGCACTTTTATATGACTTGTAACATATAGACATACACACACACACACACACACACACACACACACACACTTTGAAATGATGTCACTTCCATTTGCCTGTCAGAGGTCAGAATACTGCTTTTAAACATTATAATGCTTATAAAATTATAAAATATGAAATAGTTGCAGAATCTACTGGCTACATTATGGCAGAAAGTTTTGAACATTCCTCAGAGTATTATTGATTTTAATTTTTCAGAAGAAATTACAATCATAAAAAACACTTTCTGATTATTTAATTGTTTTAGACCTCAAACTTTTATACATCTAACTTTCCATTTCTGACAAGTTTTTTACTGTCATTGGAGAGGAATCAAGAAGTTATGATATTTTCTATACTTCTAATAGAAATTGATGTGAAACCTGTTAAATTGTTATGTCTCATATAGATAACATTATCATTTTTGTTTATCTCCATTATTATTCTTATAGAAATATTACCATAGACAATTAACTATAACAATGGCATGAAATCGTTACTTGTTTTGTTAATGTTTAAATAGGTAGGGAAAACATCACATTTATATAACAATTATTCTTGCTGCTATAAATATGTATGAGAATAAAACAATTCACTTAATAACAGATCAATATAATAAAGATTAAATTAATTAATTTTTATAGAGCCTATAGAAAATCTTTATAGATTCCATTTTGATTGCCAGTCCTTTCTACAAACATATCTAGGTTGACCAATTGTTCTAGTTCAATACCTTTGTTAAGGCTGCAATTCTCTGAGCCAGTTCAGCCTCTACTTCAGGCAATGTTTCAGCCTTTCTCATGGTCTGCTGCAACTTTTGTTCAGCTAGCTCAAGACGTTCTTGTAACTGTCTGTTTTTTTCTTCCATCTGAAATGGGAATGGGAGCAGAGACACTTAAGAAGTCAGAGTTTGAATAGCAAACACCAGACACCAAGGGCTTTGCACCTCAGTCATGATTCTAGATTTAAAATTAGTCACTGCCATACCTAAATGTGCAATATGTTGATTGTTGTCTTGTTTTCATATACTGCTTATCTATTTTCCTTCACAAAATTCAGCACATTAAAAAAATGAAAAGGCTCTTACCATTGGCAGCAAAAAGGAAAGAAATTACTCATGAGTACAAATCTGAACAAAGGGAATATAGCTCAGTACTCAGACATCAGATATACCACCATAGCAAAATACTGAAAATCATGGTATTTAGACTGAAGTGGGAAAGGTAATGTAGCATTATGATCCAGGCTCTAGAGAAAAGGTTGACAAACGTTTTCTGTAATAAGCCAGATAGTAAAAATTTTAGGTCTCATGTATTATATGGCCTGAATCCCAAATACTCAACTGTGCTGTAGCATAAAAACAATCGTAGACAATGATCAAATGATTGGGCATGGCTGTGTTCCAATAAGACTTTATTTACAAGAGCAGGCAAACAACCAGCTTTGGCTCATGGCTATAGTTTGTCTATTCCTGCTATAGAGCCCAATAAACTTAGAATTCCACTATATTGGCTCTGGTATTTAGTATATGTATGAGCTTGGGAAAGTGTGACTGTCTCTGAACTATAGCGTCTTCAGTATAATAACTCTAACTACTTCACAGGTGGTGGTTAGAATTAAGCGAGGTAATACATGAAAACTGTTTAGCACGATTTCTTGTTCATGCCTAGATGAAAATAATAGTCATTATTTGTATTATTAAGATAAATAACTTATCTTTCTAAAAAGTAAATTTCATACTAAAAATTATATTTGTTTCAGTATAAAATTTTACATTTTAGAGAATGGTTAATCAAACATCTGTCAAGAATTAGCCTGATTTATTTACTCCATGTTTTGCAAGAATGATGAGAATGAATGGACCAGAACAAAATCAAAACAGAGATACTGAACCTGCCGTAGGATAGCTTCTTTATTTGCTAACTCATTTTCTAGTTTATCATTCATGTCATGTATGGAGGTAGATTCTCTCTGAGCACTGAGGTAACGCTTTTCAAGGGTTGTAATTCTTTCTTCCATATCTTCTTTTTGTGCCATGGCCTACAATTAAAATAATTTATAAAAAAAGAAAATCAGATTTTCAGATTGTTTAATTATTATCATATTACTTAAATAAAATAGAAACATAAAAATTACTCCATTCTTGAAGTAAATACTCATTCCTTTCCTTTCATTGAAAGGAATGTGAGATTTTAGGTGCATTTTCCCAACTTAGCTGTCAGAATTATTTTTATATCATCGGTTAACCAAAAGCTTTCTACTATATAAGAATGCAGTGGAGTAGTTTTTGAAACTATCTACTGTAGAATTGGCCTTCTTTTAAGACAAGTGGCAGATAAATTAGTTCATTATGCAGTAAATTAAGTACAATTATGAGTAGAGTTGCAACTCAGAAAATTGTTAAAATGGTGGCTGCAGTTTCAAATTGTAAAGCAATCTTCAAATAGACAACAAATACCATTCACATTCTTACCTTTACATATAAGAAAGAGGAACTCTGTTGTTAAAAAACTGGAGGAAAAAATATCACATTTGGATCTTATTTTCAAAAAATTTACCAATTGACTTAGAAACTTAACAATTTATCTAGTTATGTACTGTTTCAATTACATGAGTTTAGAGAAGTCAATGAACACACAAATACAGGAAAACATCAAGTGCAAGGGGAGAAAATAATGGCATTGATAATATTTTAAACTAATTTTTAAATAATCAAATTTATAGATAGTAATAGGGAGATGATTTTACCTTACTAACAGCTTACATGAAAATTTATTGGTAGGTAGATAACCTACTTTATTGACAATATGTTGAGAGAAAATCAGTGCAGAAGTGAGGCTCATTGGCCTGGAATGGTTTCCTCAGAATGTGGGAAGCTTCTTTGTATAAAAATCCTGAAATGGAGGAAACAGTGATAGTTTCCATATGTTATTATCCAGATTCATTTCATCACTTATTCCTAACCAGTGCCTTTGTCACTCTCCTACAGGGTCCAGAGCCAGTCCTGTCACATATAATAATTAGATAAGCAGACAGCCTTTCTTTCAATTTTCCTTCCTCTTTTTTTGAGATGATAACTCTGATGGAAGTATAGGTAGAATAAAAAGCAAAATAAGGAATAAAATAAGTAATATCCTAATCTAATGTAATAGCAAAACATAAATTTTGTTTAAATAAAGAGAGAAAATACCAGAAGTAGTAAATAAAAATGTTGAAATTAAAAATCTCAGGGACATGAGATGAAAAATTGAAATGAGAGGCTGTTTGTGTTTATATGTGTACCATCTTTATACATGTCATTAATTGACTTAGAAAATTTATGTGTGTATATATATACATATATATGTATATATATAAATTAAAATTAATTCAAAAGTAATAGATCATCTGGATGTGGTGGCTCACACCTGTAATCCCAGCACTTTGGAAGGCTGAGGTGGGCAGATCACTTGAGGTCAGGAGTTCAAGACCAGCCTGCCTGGCCAACATGGTGAAACTGCATCTCTACTTAAAATACAAAAATCTTAGCTGGGTATTGTGGCACATGCCTGTAATCCCAGCTACTCAGAGAGGCTGAGGCATGAGAATTGGTTGAACCTGGGAGGCAGAGGTTGTAGAGGACTGAGATTGCAGCACTGCAATCTCAGCCTGGGCAACAGGACACGACTCCCATTTCAAAAAAAAAAAAAAAAAAAAAAAAAAGTAATAGATCTACAATGAAACTCATCATGTTGTCCCTAGCATTCCGCTCATCACAAATCAGCTCTCCCTCTCACATTTTCTATCTTTTATTCTCCTTACTTTTACTCCACCCTGCTTCCCGAGAGATATTTCTAAATGCCAGTCTGATCATATTGCTTATTGGTTTCAATACCTTTATTTCTTCCCCTCGATCTGCAGGGTAAAATCTGAGCTACAAAGCCTGGGATAAAAAAGTGGTTTTGTGATCTGATACTTCCTTACTTCTGAGTACTGGGGCTAATAATGACCCCCCAAAATTCATGTCCATTTTAACCTGTGAATGTGACCTTATGCTCCAATAAGATTGTATTGACATAATCAAGTTAGGATGAGGTCATATAGACTTAGGATAGGCCATAAATCCAATGACTGGTATTTTTATAAGGAGGGGATTTGGGGACACAGAGATATATGGAGAAGAAGGAGGAAGGCAGGCAGAGACTGGAGTTATACTGCTACCAGCCAAGAATATCAATAATTGCCAGTAACCATTAGAAACTAGAAGGGGTGAAGAAGAAATCTCACTAGAGCCTTCAGAGATAATATGACCCTACTGAAACATTGATTTCAGACTTAAAGCCTCCAAGACAATGAGTGACTAAATTATGGTTGTTTTAAGCCATCTAGCCTGTGGCAATTTGTTGTGGCAGCCCTTCAAAACTAATACACTCTGTGACTTCGTGTCTACCTGAAATGTGTTTTGTCTCCTTTGTCTAGCTCAATCCTACTGACCATCGAGACCTAGTTAAAAGCTACTTGGTTAACTGTGTTGATACTAAAGTGTAAATGTAAGAAATTAATCTATGAATTCAGCAAAAATTAGCCAGAATAATTTTTAAGAAATATATGCATATCTCCAGATTTTAGGCATCCCAGATAACAACTACTATTTTTAAAACTACTTATTTTCACTTTTGACTTTTTCTGTTTTACATATTTTTTATCTCAGTGAGTGATGGTAGAGTTTTTATCTTAGAGTGCTTAAGATTGTATTCTGTCAGCTTCATTTTTCCCAACAGAACTCTGGGAAAATTTTGTGGCTTTAAGAGAAAAGTCTAAAGCTAACCTGCATATATAAACTTCTTACTAAATTTTAACAGCAATAAAATCAATAAAAGGCATACACACATTTCTCAAGAACATGAGCATTGAAGTAGTATTTACTTGCTCCAAATGCTAGTTTGGGACACTTATTAACTCTGTTACAAGGGGTCAATGTTGCTCACCTATTCTGTGCTTCACCTTCTTCATATATTGCGTGGGTTGAGATTCTAATATGCATCACATAGCATATTATTGTTGGTAAGAATTAGAAAGTGCTTTGTATGGCGTTGCATGTAGAAAATATCCTCAATAAATAATAGCTTTTTAAAATTATTAATCACTATTATTTCTACAATTAGATGATCTCACTCTATGACATACATTACATGCAGGGATTTTTGTATTTTGTAATTTTGGTACTGCATTTTTGATTCAGTGATTCATGTGGGAGATTCAATTTTTAACTGCAGGCTGTGTTGCCAAAAATGAACTGGATTTACAAGTCAGAGAAATAGTTTTTCCCTCTGTCATTTGGAAATTCTAAAAAAAGAAGCTTTTCTAGTCCCTAAAACTTGCTACCAAAAAAAAAAAAAAAAAAAAAAAAAAAAAAAAAAAAAAAAAAAAAAAAAAAAAAAAAAAAAAGAAAGAAAAAGAAAACAAAATAAAGTTGCAATCATCTCTTGAAGTTTATATCTATAAATTGGATTTTTTATATCTAATAAATATAACTCTCTGGTAACTTAGATCTATTAAAGTTAAAAATATAACTACATGTTTCAGATAATAGAAAAGCCAACACTGATATGTATTTAATTCATTTAATCACATAGTGAAATTCTGAATAAATGTTAACAGGAAGTTGGAAAGATAGGATAGATTCACAAAACAAAATATAATTAAAATATTCCACTGAAAATTAGTTATTTGCACAGCTATGTATTTAATGATATATCATTATCCATATACAATTATTAAGCCTCTTGATTAAAAACTGGAGAGATAAGCTACTTTTATGAGATTGTCTATTTTTCTAATATGTGTACTGTGTCTAGCTTTAATTCAACTCACCTACTCTTCATAGGCGAAAATCAATTTAAGGAGTTTTGTTTGAAGACAAAATATAAAATGAAAGTAAATTTTAGATACATTTCCTTTTGACACAGAAAAATTACATTCTGAAGCCATCAGTGGAACATATTTATAAATTAGGTTGGTTCAAAAGTAATTGCAATTTTTGCCGTTCAAAATAATAGTTCATTTTAGATACCTTAGAATGTCCTCACATACAAAGCAAAATACCTTTCAATTTTTATGTTATTTTCTTATTTCCTAATTTTTCCTTAATTATTGCAACAAAGATTTATTACCTGTACAATTTATAAATCATACTATGCTAGCAATGCTATAGGAGTACCAAGAAAAAGGAGCTGTTTTTTTTTTTTTTTTTTTTTTTTTTTTTTTTTTTTTTTTTTTTCTACTAAGAAATTTGCAATGTGTCTCACACCTGTAATCCCATACCATTGGGAGGATGAGGTAGGAGGATCTCTTGAACCCAGAAATTTGCCACCAGCATGAGCAACCTAGTGGGACCCTGTCTCTACAAAAACTACAAAAATTTTCCAGACACTCTGATGTATGCCTGTAATCTTAGCTGCTCCAAAGGCTGAGATGAGAGGATTGCTTGAGCCTAGGAGATTGAGGTTGCAGTGAGCTGAAAACACTATTACACTCCAGCTTGGGCAACAAAGCAAGACTCTGTCTGTAAATAAATAAATCAATAAATAAAAATTTAAAAAGAATAATTAAGAAAAGAAAAAGAAACTTGCAATCTAGTTGACCTGTGTGACCATAGCACAGAAAAATATTATTCAGGAAAATAAAAACTTTAAGTGTTAAGTAATTTGTTTGTTAAGTATGTGATTTTCACATCTTCTTGCTTATTCCAAAAAATGACCAAGATATCGATTGTTTAGAGGACAGTTATACTGTAGCTGCATTTTTGTGATGGTTGCTATCACTGAATAAATTATTACAGTGTGCTGATTTTGGAAGCAGTTCATAGTGGAAGAGGCACAGGTTTTGAAGCCATGCTGATCTTGTTTCTCTTCGGTGCGGATGGGGAGGGAACCACACAGGCCTTTGGCAAGTTACTTTACCTCACTGAACCTTAATCGTTTTCATCTGAGAAAAATGGAGATAATAATTAGTATTTCCCCTTTTTGTCAATTGTGAGGAGTTAGAGAAATTCTATGTAATACACCTGTAATAGTTTTCACATGTGACTGGTCCTTAACCAATTCTTCACAAACCAGGGGCCTGTGTCTTGAGACCTGAATATTTCAGAAGCAGCTTATTTAGCTTTCACAGTGCCGTGTGTGTGTGTGTGTGTGTGTGTGTGTGTGTGTGTGTACAAAAAAAAGGTGATGCATACTATAATGCAGTCGGAGTACAGGCCCTTTCACAGGTCTCATCAACGCCATCACTTCCTACTGTCTTGCACCTGGCACTTAACACTTTTCCATTGCCAGCCTGGCTCTGAAAACATTTGTGTTCACAACCGCCCTTTAAAGGTGGATAACAAGAGATATTCCTTTCTCACGAAACTCTTCTAAAATATAACTATGTAGAAATGATGGAGATGACAATAATAGTTGTATTTAAAAATAATTCCATGTGAAAGGAGAACGTTATGACCATTAGAATGATTCCCAATAACCTGGCATCAGAGGAGTGACATTTTCCATCTGACTGGGTGTTTTGTCACCTACATTCAGAGACTATCAGTATCAAGGAGTTATTTTTAAATGGGCAGTAAGAAAATGGGAATTGGATCCTGGGCTTTACCTCTAGGTGATGCTGGACTAGATAAGCATCAATAGAGCAGTGAGTACTAAAATGAAAGGAAATCAGCTAAATCTCCAGAACCAAGAGAATGAAGATAGAGAGAATGAGCAACAGATGAAGTGAGCCTGGTGATCTGAATGCCAGATATCCTAGTGATTCCTTAAGAGTAAACAGAAGAGGGGTTAAACTGCCTTTACTTTACGAATTCTCTGAATTTGAATTGTGGGGAGGAGTGAAGAGGAGAGATGCATCCATGAACTATGAATTCCTAAAAGTTGTGTCATCTGTGCTACAGTGGAGCAGTCTACCACTTCATGGTTCACCTATATTTTTGTTATGTTTTGCTAATAGGCATTGTCTTAGTACATATTCTGATATCATTCATACCTTCTGATACTTACTTATAAATATCTATTCTTTCAAGAAAGATTTTTTGAGTGTCCATGATACAATCAATAGCTGTGTAGGTACTCTGATGACAGCAGTGAACAAATCAAGAACAAAAAATCCTACCCTTACAGATCTTTACAAATAGTTGGGGAGGGAGGCATATGATAAACAAGTTTATCAGTTAAATATATATTTTGTCAGATGACAGAAGTCATGTGGGATGTTTATTTAATCAAAAGAAGAAAGAGAGTGTATATGTGTAAACACCAAGGTCTGGGGACATTTCACTTAGAAAACAATATTGAGCAAAGTCAGAGGGAAAATAAAATGCAATAAAGCAGGTCTGGCTTGCTTCAGAGGTCACTCCAGTTGAGCAGGGGGTGTTAAGATGAGATAGTAGATGGTTTCTAAGAGGTCAGGAAGGTCATAGTGGAGATTGTATATGGCTTTTAGACCACTATAAGGGCTTTGATATTACTATAAGTAAAGTAGGTAGTCATTAAAAGTCATTTAAGAAGAAAAGTGACATGAACTGACTTACAGGCAGGCTGCTCAAGCTGCTGTGTTGAGCATAGACTGAGGTGAGCTGAAAGCATGAGCAGGAAGACTAGGCAACAGACTATTGAAATAATCCAGTGAGAGAAAGTGATTGTGTAGGAAAAGAAAAAGCCATGAAAATTCTAAGAGGTCTGATTATGAATAGTTTGAAATTGGATTTACTGCTGAATCAAACTGAGTAGGTGAAAGGAAAGACCTTAAGGATATCACCAATTAGGTACATAGAATAGGGCCAACTTGATGAACAACTAGCAAATTATATACAAAACATATTTTAAAAAGGTAAAAAGTATATTATTTAAAAGAATATGTAAAAATGAAAAGGCAAAGAGTCAGAAAATACAATTTCCACAAATATAAATAATTTTCTTTTTATTTGTGAGTGAAAAGTTGAAAAAGTTAAAAGATTCTAAACTTTCACCTGAGCAGGTACAATGATTTGACAGTGTTACAAATCAAGTCTCTAAGTATCTTTTGCAGTAACTTAAAGTACTGTCTTTTTTCACTTGATCTTAGCCAAGAGGCTGAGAAGTGATTAAAGCAGTCATTTTTTTTTTAAGTATAAGAAGGAAAGTATAAGAAGGAACTTTAAGTCTAACAGGAATGTAATATATAGACAAAGAAAGGTTATGTTATACATATATGTGTGTGTACATGTATATTCACAGATGTACATTCATATTCATAAACATAAAACCAAAATAAGCAATGAAACAATTTAAAGTATTTTTTTTAGTATTCCTACCTGCTAAGAGTATAGCAATTCATGATTCATACCATATTTAGGATTATTTAAAATTAAAACTTAGATTTAAAATATTGTATTAACAGCTTCAGAATGTCTTTGTTATATCAGAGACTTGATACACACATTTCTTTCCATATATATTTAAAGCATTCATAAAGTAAACTATTTTTGCCTTATCAAACAAGTTTCATAACTAATATGCATGCAAAAGTAAAAATATGGTCTTTCGAGAAGTAAAAAGTATATGGTCATTGTGGGAAATTATGGAAACAGCACTTCAGAAGCAGAATTCAGAAATCAAAGACTGAACGTGACATGAATCACTTACCTCCCTAATGTCCCTTTGATACTTGGTGTTCATTTCTTCTGTTTTAATGAGATCCTTTCTTGCTGTCTCTGCTTCCTGTTCCACCTCTCCCACCCGGGAAGAAAGGGCTGCTAAACGTTCTTTCATCTGGGCCATTTCATAGTTTTGCTTTTCAAGTAATTCTTGTAGTTCAACTATTTGACTAGTGTCATCAGTTGAGTCTATAGAACCATTGGACAAACGCTGCAGGAATAGAAAAAAAAAAATGGCATAAAGAATTCTCATCTTTAAAATTTAAAATAAACTTAAATAAATGAAACTGACACTGCTTTCACACTGAGAAATAAGAACTTCTGAAAAGAACTAGTTTTGCTGAAAAACTAAGTTTCTGAGAAAACTGTTAACTAACATTAAAATATTAAGGTAGATCAGTAATTTTCAAACAGGTTAATAGATGTATTCGAACTGAAAACTATACTACTCTCTATATGTATATAAAACATAGCATAAAACACTGACTCATCTATCCTAAACATTTAAGTATCAGCTACTATGTTATCAATTAGATATATAATTTACTATCAATTTACAATATTATATTGATATAACACGTTATTTTTAATTAATAGGTAAGAACCTATAAAATGTGCAATGTTAAAATTTTTGTTCAGGATTCTTTGTAAATTTTTATTTTCAGTGGTGCCCAGAAAAAGAACTTACCAAATATTTTTTGTTAAAGATTATTCCTGTTGTGAATCTGACCTAGCTGGAACAAACATATAGTACAGAAAAGTCTTAATTTCTATATTACTGCTAACATAAAAATCATGTGGCCAGCATGGTGGTTAACACTTGTAATCCCAGTACTTTAGGAGGCCTAGACTGGCAGATCACAAGGCCAGGAGATCGAGACCAGTAGGCTAACACAGTGAAACCCTGTCTCTACTAAAAATATGAAAAATTAGCCAGGCATGGTGGAATGGCCTGTAGTCCCAGCTACTCGGGAGGCAAAGGCAGGAGAATCACTTGAACCTGGGAGGCAGAGGTTGCAGTGCACTGAAATCGTGCCACTACACTCTAGCCTGATGACATAACAAGACTCTGTCTCAAAAAATAAAATAAAGTGTGTGCATGGAACTCACAGGAAGGAGGCTGGAAAACATTATATATTTTGTGAGCTGATTTTTCTACTTTCTGGAAGGACTGCCTAGAAACCAGAGGTTTCTGAAAGTATGTCTTCAGAAGTATGCCCTAGAGCTAAAGTCTAAAATATACAAACAATCCAAACAACTCAATGGGAAGAAAACAAATCCCCAGATTAACAGGCAAGAGATCTGAATAAACATTTCTCAAAAGAAGACATACAAATAACCAGAGGATATATGAAAAAATGCCCAATATCACAATGCATCAGGGAAATACAAATTAAAACCACAGTGAGATATTACTTAATATCTGTTAGAATGGCTATTAGCAAAAAGCAAGTAAGTGTTGGTAAGAGATTAAGAATGTGGGGAAAGGGAACCCTTGTACACTACTGATAAAAATATAAATTAGTATAGCCACTATTGAAAAAAATGAGAGTTCCTCAAAAAATTAAAATTATCATATGGTTCAGAAATCTCACTTCTGGGTATATAACCAAAGGAATTGAAATCATGTGTTGAAAAGATATCTGTACTTCCATGTTCAATGCAGAATTATTTACAATAGCCAAAATACAAATCAGCCTAAGTGTCTATCAATGGATGAATGGGTAAAAACAAATGTGGTATACATACACACTGAAATACTATTCAGCAGCTAAAAAGAAGGAAATTCTGTCATTTGTGACAACATGGATGAACCTGGAGGACATTACGCTAAGTGAAATAAGCCAGGCACAGAAAGACAAGTACTTCTTGACCTTGATTATCTGTAGAATCTAAAAGAGTCAAACTCATAGAAGTTGATAGTAGAATGGTGGTTGCCAGAGGCTGGAAAAGGAGGAAGGCTGTGATGAGTAAATGGGTGATGTTAGTCAAAGAGTAAAACATTTCAGTTATGCTTTAAAAATTATGGTCTATTACACAGCATGATGACTATAGTTAATAAAAATACATTGATAAAAGATATTTTAAGTGTTCTCACCACAAAAATGATAAGTAGGTGAGTGATGGATATATTAATTAACTTGTTTGAATCATTCTACATTGTATACATATATCAAAACATTACATTGTGTCCCGTGATATATACAACTATTATTTGTCAGTTAAAAATTAAGAGACCAGGTACTGTGGCTCACTCTTTTAATCCCAGTGCTTTGGGAGGCTGAGGCAGGAGACTGCTTGAGGCCAGAAATTTGAGACCAGCCTGGGTGACATAATAAGACCTCATCTCTAGAAAAATATTTTTAAAAACCCAAAACATTAGGGTGTGGTGGCATATACATGTAGTCCTAGCTCCTCAAGAGGCTGAGGCAAAAGGATGGCTTGATCCCAGGAGTTTGAGGCTATAGTGAGCGATGATCATGCCACAGCACTCCAGCATGAGCAACAGAACCATATGGTGGAAGGAAGGAAGGGAGGGAGGAAGGGAGGAAGGAAGGGAGGAAAGAAAGGGCTACATGTGGTGGCTTGCTCTTGTAATCCCAGTGCTTTGTGAGGCTGGGGTGGGAGGATCACTTGATGCCAGGAATTTGAGACCTGCCTGGGCAACATGGGGAGACCCCATCCTAAAAACAAAATGAAAAAAACAAAAATTAGCCAGGTGCAGTGGTGTACACCTATAGTTTCGGCAATTAGGGAGGCAGAGGTGGGAGGATTGCTTGAGCCTGGAAGGTCAGGCTGCAGTGAGCCACGATTGTACTATCGCACTCTAGCATTCCAGTCTGAGTGACAGAGTGAGACTCTGACAAAAGAAAAAAAAAGTATGCTTCACAGCCTAGCTACATTGGAGTTTTGTAGTGAGGACAGTGCAGCAATTTGAGAGAAACAACTAAGAGAAAGAGAATGTAAGAAGAAAAAGAAAAGTTCAGAGAAAATATAACGGAAGTACAGTCATTTCTGCTCATGTTTTAAGCACTTGTTTAAAAGCATGAATTTTTTTCAACATGATAGATACATTAGGAAACAATTTCAGTGTAATGTAAATTGTGTGTGTCTGTGTCTGTGTGTGTGTGTGCGCATGCACATACACCTGCATTTTAATATGCAATTTTCTTCCTAAGCAGCACTGGCTAAATACAGAAAACTACACTTGGCTGAAGGAAAAACAAGCCACATAGGAACACTTAGAATGCACAAATGCCCATTCCTCAAATATCTAAAACTGACCACAGTTCCCCATATATGTTAAAAATTTGCACATCTGCACCTGTGTTACAACTTCCTGCTGATTTCAGAAACCATTTCTTCTACCATTTCACAATAAAGTAAAGTCTTCAAGTCTTCTAACACTCACTTCCACAAGCAAACTTCAGCTCTTTTTCAGGGTTAAGAAAATACTTATCACTATATTTATGCAATTTCCAACCATTTAATGTGTTAAACTGTTACTATTTTTATTAGTTTTTTTACCTTTATTTTAATGTGACACTGATAAAGTTTTTAGTGTTGTGCCATAAACCTCATTTCCCCCATAAGCCCGTGTTATTTATTGCACAATATGCATAGCTCATGATTTTTAGGAATGCAAATTACATAGAGAAGATTGGACTACAGAAGAATGGGAAGAACAGAAAGCATCATGAAAGCAGTGTGAGAAAGATAAAACACAGAGAAAGGAAATGTAGGCAAATGGCATGAAGTACTGGTAAGTCCAAAAACCTAATACAATGTGAGAGTGTGGAGAAATAGCTGAGTGAGTCAAAATGAAAAGAGCAGAGAAAGATAGAAACAATTGTCTTTTTAAAGTTGACCAGAGGAATTTCCCAATGTGAGGAGGTAGCAGTTCTATTAAATCTTATACTTGTCTAGTTACTTGTAGCTTGTATACAGAGTTTGAAGATATTTAAAATTATGGCAAATCCCTGCAAAATCATATCTGTTATCTCAAATTTGGAAATAACTGGCTGGCAATTGGTTCTACCCTTCTTCTCTAGTCCAGATCTTAGATGCTGCCTAATGATTATAAACTGGCCTTTCTGAGTTTAATGTACAGATAGCTGTGTAATGTAGAAGTTCACAATTCCCTTCCTCTAGGAGCAATTCCTAGAGAAATGCTCAGCTCTGATCCTTCAACCAGCAGCATTTCCACCAGAAAGGAGAAGAGAGACTATAAAGGGGGATGTGATCAATGAATGGTAGTAGGAACTCCAACATTTCTACATATTCGTAATATCACTTACCACTTTTATTAAATAGAGTTTGGTACCCACAATACAGCAGTTCTATGTTCAGATATGGGATGATATCTTCCAAGGATTAAGTCTGTAGATTCAACTTGTATCTTAAGAGATAATTTAGTAACCAACAGTGACTCCTTGGCAATAATGTTTACATACTATAAATAAAACTATAATAAAATCATACTAAATAATTCAAAAACACTTCTTTAAAATAGGAGAAACTATTGTATTCTTGGGGTAAGCAAATATAACTTGATATGTTAATACAATGAAAAAAACATTACTGAGCTCTCCAATAAAATGAATGAATCGCAAAAAAATTATGCAGAGAAACAGAAGCTAGATACCAAAGAGTACATAATGTGTGATTTAATTAATATGAAATTCTGGAAAAGACCATTCAAATCGATGACGCCAGGAAAGCAGATTGTTTGTTGCCTGGGCTAAGAGGTGGAATGGGGGAGGTGAGGTTGACTTCAAGGGAGCATTAGAGTACTTTTAAGGGTTATGAGGATGTTCTTTATCTTGATTCAGGTGCTTATGAAGGCATATATATTTATCCAAATTGACAGAATCGTGCACTTAAATTGTATGTTCATTGTACAGTAATAAATTTGCTTTTTAAAAATCAAAAAAAATGAAAAATTAATTTTTATTTTGAAAAATATTTTATAGAATTAAAAAATCATATTTAAGATTCTAGAGTTCTAAAGAATTTTGGAGAAATTGAGACTCAGGTAATCACACAGAGTTGATCTGAATTAAAAGGCAGAACTTTTATTCCCAGTTAATTTAGTTAATTTACCCTTTACCATATTGCCTCTGATAGGAACATATAAATCAACAGGATTAATTATACATGCTTCATAGTATAGGCAGGTACCAAGCATCCACACACCATATATATATATAT